TCGGCGTTCTCGCGCGCGCGCAAGTGGCTGGCTCCGCGCTTCGCTAGAGATGCCGCGCTCAGAGCTGAACTCCGCCAGTGCCGCGTCGAGGCTCTGGGGGGTGCGCCGAAGCCCCGCTGCCGCGGCAAGTTGGCCCCACTTTCGTCCCGGGCTAAGTCGGCGTCGAGGACGTCGGAGAGGCCCCCTGCCGGGCTCGCGCAGGAGGCGCGCGACATGGCCACGCCATTCGGTTGCCGAGCGCCCACCTTCTTGACGATGTCCTCGGTCGAGAAGGCCCCGTGGAAGCGCTGCCTTGGCGCTCTGCCTGCTCCGCCAGTTTCTGGCGAGCGCCGGGCCGCGCTTCCCCGCCCAGGAAGATGCGGCCGCCGGGGTGGCGGGCGCGGTCGAGGGGCGCTTCTTCGCAGACGGCGTCCGCCCCGAGGCGCCGGCGACCTATGCCGCTTTCTTGGCGCCGCGCCCTGAGCCGACAGCGGGGGCCGCGCGGGCCCGGCGTTCATTTTCCCAGCCGCGACCGGAGCGCCCGCTCCATGGGCGGCGGCGGCTGGCGGCGATGGCGCGCGCGATGGCGATGCGGCACCAGCCAGCAGAGGCGACAGTGACACTTGCGATGTTCTCGGCGTGCCTAGGCCCCCGCGAAGCGCAGAACCTCCTCACCGCCCTTCTTTCAGCAAGGTTGTCGCGAAAAAAAGCCCGCTCGCAGTTCACTCCGGCTTTCGCAGTGCACTGCCGCTGGACATTAGAGAGGCGCGCGCGCAGTTGGGTCTCCGGGCCCAGGGGGCCCATTGCAAAATCCCCCCCCCGCGTGGCGTCAAACTGCGGCTCTGGAGGCCAGCAAACTGTTTGGGCAACTCCAGCAGCTCCAGAGTGTCATTGGGGGCCTTCTCGGCGCGCCCTGAGGACTTCTAGAGGCCGCGAAGACATGTCCAGCACCGCCCAAGATGTCCGCGGGTGGGCCAAAACGCCCCAGGACGACACAAGACGCCCACAATCTCGCCCAATATGGCCCCGATGCAGGTTCATTAGGCATTTAAGACGGTCCGAATACATCCCCAGACACCCCCAGATTACCCGCATCGGCCTCCAACGCGGCCTCCTATGGCGTCAGTCGGGCCAAGAGCATTTTAATGCATCCTAACAGGACGATGCGCCAAAGAGGCCCCAAGTGGCTTTCGCTTAGGTTTTGTAGCTGTTTGGGGCGTTCGACATTGCAGAGCGACGGGCCGCGAGGGCGAGGCCCCCAGATCGCTCCAAGACGGCTTAAGAGGGCCGTTCTGAGACTTTCGGAAGGGTCCAAGGGGGGAGAACGAATGACACTTTTATCCTTTTTCCCCAAGGATGAGCTCCGAGATTGCTGGCATTCCCGCGAGAGCCCGCAAAACCCCCCATGGCAATCCCGAAAGGCCCCCGCAAGGTCCCGCACAGGCCGCGCACGCGCTTCCAATAGTCCCCCGACAAATTCCGAAGAGCCCCCCAATATACATCTAAGAGTACGGTTGTGGGTCAGGTTGCGGGTCAGGCCAAAGGCACGGCTGCGTGTTAGGCCAAAGGCCACCAGATGTCGGATTAGGGAACTCCGGGAAACCTTGGATTTCATTCAAATGGCATCGATTCATGCGCGAGCCGCGCGAAACGATTTGCACATGGATGTTTCGCCCCCGTAATCTCGGAACGCATGGGGCGCGTTCTCGTGGCCAGACCGAGCGAGGGAAACTACAGTGGACGACCACGGACCTGTTGCGTCGCTCAGCCCTCGAAGCAAGGGGAGGTGCAAAGCAAGCCGCCAAACTTAAGCACGAAAGCGGTCGGTGCCTGCTCCTCGTCGGAGTTGCACTCGGGGGCACATTGGCCAATCGTGGGTGGCCGCCAAAAATCGGGGAAACGTAAGACTCGAGTAAGCCGGGACTCGGCTGCCCGACGTTTTTGACCAGCGCGTTCTGGATTTTGGCGGTCCGGTTTTCGTGGGATGTCTGCAGCGGGAGGTCGCGTCAAAGTTCAGATTGGGTCTCGTCATTTTGATGGAGGCCCCGTCAGACCGACCCGAGTCCCCCGTGCACGAGTCTTACGTCTCCCCGAAACAGCTTTGGCATCGCTCGGGCGTGTGCATTTTTCTCGGCGAGAACCATCGAGGATCATCCTGGACCATCGAGCAAAACAAACACGCACGAAACCGCATAGTGCACGGGAAATGGACGTCCGAGCGACGGCAAGAAGTTCCACACCGCTTCGGAGAAAAAAAAAAAAAAAAAAAAAAAAAAAAAAAAAAAAAAAAAAAAAAAAAAAAAACGAGGCGGCCCGAGCAGGCCCCGCCACGGTCGCGGAGAGGCCCGGGCGATGGACAGCCAGCACGTCAGCCCACAACGCATCGCCGCGGGCGCGCCGCGCCGTCGTGTTTTTTTGTTTTGCTGTTTTTTTTGTTTTTTTGTTGGGGGGGGTCGAGCTCAATGGTGATGTTTTACCTGGCTGAGCAGGTGGGGCCTCCCATCCTCCTCCTCCTCCTCCTCCTCCTCCTCCTCCTCCTCTCCTCCTCCTCCTCCTCCCCTCTCCTCCTCCTCTCCTCCTCCCTCCCTCCTCCTCCTCCCCCCCACCTCCTCCTCCTTCTCCTCCTCCTCCTCCTCCTCCTCCTCCCTCCTCCTCACTCCCTCTCCTCCTCCTCCTCCTCCCTCATCTCCTCCTCCTCCTCCCTCCTCCTCCTCCTCCTCTCCTCCTCCTCCTCCTCCTCCTCCTCCTCCTCCTCCTCCTCCTCCTCCTTCTCTTCTCCTCCTCCCTCATGGGCGGGAGGTGGGCGGCCCGCGGGACGGCCTGAGCGCCCCCGGAACGTGAAGACCTCCAGGAGGCGCCAGGGACAGGCTCTCAAGTGCTCAACGCAACCTCCTCCCCCCCCATGGAGTTTCGAGCAGGGGAGAAAAAAGATACGGATACGTGTTGTCCCCCTTCGTTTTCGGCCTTTCCTGGTCCTCCTGGGGAATCCTCGTTGTCACCGCTTCGCCTCGAAATTCTGGTCAGAACGCACCCCAAGAGAGGTCCGGGGACAACACGTATCCGTATCTTTCCCCCCAAGGTGGAGCCTCCCCCATGATGGACGCCTGTTGCAAACAGTCGCATCAAGCAGAGGTCCAGAGAGCCAGACCCCCCCCCCCCCCCCTTCCGCCCAATGTCGAAACGCCGAATAAGGAAACGCTCACACGGTAGATCTTGCCAGCGGTTTGGCTCACAGACCACCCCGGAGGACGATCATTACGAGAGTATGATGTTTTTACCCTGTGGGCCATACCACGTGCGTTATGGCCCCTACCTTCCCCCCTCCCCCCCTACCTCCCATGACGTGCGGTTTGTCCCCCCTGAGTGCGTCCCCGGGATTGCCGCAGTGCGTCCAGCCCCACACCGCTCGGGTGGACCGTTACGTTATGCCCCCCCCCTTGTCCCCCCCTCCCCCCCAATACCGCCCGTTCTTGCCGCGAATACAGAAATTTGCTTTACAAAAACGAAGTTGCTCCAGGTCGATTGGGCGATCACACTGATACCCGCTCAGAGGGCTGGAAGACTGATCAATCGCGCCCCAGGACGCCCCAGGGCTTCCAAGCCCATTCCAAACTCAGCCCTGAGACCCGCAAGGAACAACCAACATAGACCCCCAGTAACCTCCAGAGATACACCGAAATGGCCAGACACAATGAACGAGAATGATCCCGTGAAGAATCGCAGCATGCACTCACTGTTGCGATGTGGCCTTGGCATGTGCTAGGCTTTCCTGGAGGCCGCATTTCCCCGTTTCCCCTCGCGCACCCGGTCCGTTTTATTGTATTTGCGCCGAGGTGTTCCTCCTCTTCATCCTCCCCCTCCTCCCCCTCCATTTTGTCCCCGTCCCAAGCCGCACTCCTTCTCTTCCTCATCATCCGTGTCAGCACCATCCCCCCGGGCTACTGCAGACAAACACAAGATTTTCCTGGACCGCCTTTGCCCCACCCATGGCCGCATGTTTTGCACCAAACCCCGTCGTCTAGGCAAACTACGTCAACAACAAACATCATGCATCTACCAGTTGCAGTGTGCGAAGCGAGTTTTTCAGGCTAGAACCTAAGCGCGCGCGCGAACCGCGCGCGTTGTTCTAGTGGTCCAACTCGTGAGACGCAATGGGTTTGGTCAATCGATGGGGTGGAAGATGCAATGACCTCATGGCCCACCCCACCTTCGTGCCTAGGTTGTGGGCCAGAGACGTCTTGGATGTCTGTGGATGCTTGGGGTGATCCTCGTGGGCGTCTTTGGATGCCTTCCTCTTGGATGCAAACTAGGTGGCGCAAGTGGTACCCATATGGTGGTGCTGCTCAAGTCACATCGATCCCAGCGAGCGTCGATCTCTCGTGCCTGGGTTGTGTGTCAACAGTGGTGGGGAGAACAGTGAAGACAGACGGGGAACGCGAAGCGGGAGGGAGCACACTCTCCCTGATTATTCTCGTCCGTCTTCCTGGGCCCATGCGACGGCGTTTGCGCCCTCGGCCAATTTACACATCATCGACACGGGATTGACTCGCGTGGGTTGACACCCATCATTCAGAGCAACATGTTGAGAAGGGACGGTGTGAGAAATACAGAGAGGAAAAGAGAGAGAGAGAGAGGGTGGACCCCCACACACACACACACACACACACACACACACACACACACACACACACACACACACACACACACACACACACACACAGTGGGACATCCGCATCGGTCTAGGCACCAGACCTGCATCGGTCAGGAGGGCGGCCGAACGGCCCAGCGGCCCCGCGAGGGCCCCAAGATGTCCCAGACCCACCAGACGCGCGAAGACGACCCTGGGAAGATCCCGTTTGTACGGTATGAATTTGTGAACGCTCTGTTCGTCGGTCTTCTGGGCGTCCGACACCGCCCAGGAGGCCAGAACATCTCCCCAAACTACCCAAAAGGTCGCCCAGGCAGTCCAAGAGAGTTCAGAGACTGCCCAACAGGGCCGCAATATGGCTCGAAGAGAGCTCCATGACGGCCCCAGATGGCCCCAAGACGCCCCCCGAAGCATTTCAAATCGTGACCCGGTCGTTCAGGGAGACCGCGATTGGAAGCAGTGTGGCCCGAGGAAGCTTCCAGGGGGCCTTAGAAGGAACCCAGAAGGCCTCCAGAAGGCCCCAACAAGCCCTGTATAGACTCTCCGTAGCCACTTGGACTCAAGCCCAAGGGCCCATTGTTGGTTTGAGGTCTGATTTCCGATACCGATCGCTTTGAATAGGCCCTTGTGTAGCAACGATGGCCAGAGGTTTGATGTTGATGGCTTTGGTCAGCTTCGTCTTCGTCGGTCAGGCCGCCAGCGAGGGTGAGAATCTCATGACCGAGCTTGCGGACGAGGTACTTTCCAACCAGCAGGCGCTCCTGAGTATCCCTTGGGAAATCTACAGGGACACGCCATCGTTCAGGGATGTTGGCTACGTTGGCGAATTTCCAATTAGGGATTCTGCTGCTACTGAGATCCATCTGAGCTCGTTGCAGACTGGACGGGAAACCCAAGGATTCCCTCCAAACGTTCTGATTGGCAGGGCCTTGGTCAAAGACTCCCTCAATGTCACACAGCCTCCTTCGAATTTCCGCTACACGGGAAAAGGAGGTGAGGAGATCAAACACTTGAATGGTTTGACGAACCCTGCGGGCGATCTGACTGTGTGGCAGTGGCAGAGGATGAGGTGGTCTGCTGCGAAGGGGTGGCTGGAATATTGGGCTGACCGGGGGATTGGGGGTGCTACGCGATTGGCCATCATCCATTCCAGCGGTGATATTTTGTACGGCGGCTGTGACGAGAACACAATCGTCTACAAGTACAACAGGATCGTCAGCGCGAGTGGCGGTTCGCAGAAGATCGTGATGGCGGCGGAGCTGAGTCCTTGGCCAGCCGACCTTGGGTGGAGCTATAACATGACTGGCTCTAGCTGGGTTGAGGGAAGGAGGACCGACGTGCTCTCGGACGTGAGCGTGCCCGATGACTGGGAGTCGACGTACGCGAATTGCACCGACCCCAGCGTAGGCCCGTGCAATTCCGTACCAAAGTACATGTACGCCAATTCCGGTTTCATTATGGGTACTATCGACGCTCTCATCGACATGATTGCAGAGCTTGGGACAACCTACTCTGGCTGGGACAATCGATGGTTCAACGAGTACTATTTGAAGAACCCTGCCACTGTGACTCTCGACTACGCTGGCGACCTGTCAATGTCTCTCCACAACATGAACCTCGGCAGCCTCCCGCTGGAAGTCAGCGTGAACAACACGGGCAAGAGCATCCAGAGCAAGTTGACAAACGGTAGCATTTGTTTCTTACATGGCAACGGTAACAGCTTCACAGCTCTTCAGGGTGTCGCAAGGGAGCTCAAGGCGTAGACTCGAACAGCTGTAGGCAGTGCGGTTCGATTGTGGTTTTCTCATGGATGCGTGCGCATGCACACGCACACATGGACACGCACAGGCAAGTACCAGTGGTGTTCATTCGCACGCGCACCTCGCCTCGCGTTATAAGCGTATCCACCGCGAGGTCCCCTCTTGTGTCGGTTGCTTAGGGTCTCTTCTCGGGGCGCAGGGCTTTGCTGCTCCGCTTCCCGCTGCCGTCAGCGTGCACACGACTGCCCATGTTTGGGGCTCATTCCGCTGAGTGTTTCCAATTTCATAGGGTCGAAAGTACCTGCCAATCGAGGGCTGCGCAACTCTAGCAGCAATGCAGTGCTGCCGTGCCAGCGAAGCTAGTCGCGCTGGTTGCTCTGCAGGTCGCCGTCTTGTGTTCTTACATTTTGTAGTCCCGTTGCTTTTGCGAGTGCTAGTGGAGCTGACTTGGGCCCACATGCCGGCAATAGAGAGCCTATGTGGGTGCGCGCGATTCGCGTATGGAAATACAGAAACCTTTAAAATAACTACTTTCGTGAGGCCCCAGGGAGGCCCTCCTAGGAGGAGCCTCCGCAAAACGAGCTAAGGAGGATGGAGGCACCTTCGCAGGGACGGGCGGGAATGAGGCAGAGGAATAGGAAGCATGAGGGAACGATGCCGGATAGTTTGTTTGTAACGACGATGCCGGACAACGACAACAACGAGTTCTTGTTAAATGTGCAGTTTTGCCTTCCTGCCCTTCCGCCTGCATGCCAGACGGGAAAGACTAAGGTGCATGCCGCGAAGCGTCAGTGCAGCGTGTGCGTATACATACATCCATACATACGTACGTGCGTACGTACATACATGCAAGCATGCATACGTACATTCACACACATAATGTATGCAGTTATGTGTATCCGACCCTAAAAGAGGGGCGTGCCAAACAGTCGTTTTAAAACGTCAACGTCCTAGAACCCATCTTCATATGTTTGAACATTGAAGGTTGAAGATGTAATTGGACTTATGCCCAGCATTCTTCAAGCAGGCGCTTGGCGACCTGCATGATTAACGCACAGATATTTGAATATTGAACATTTAAGATCTCAGTGGACTTAATGTAAGCATTCTTCAAACTGGCCGGTTGACACCAACCTTCGTTTGAAGATCAAACGTTGAAGATCTCAGTTGATTTATGTTTAGCATTCTTTGCGCAGGCGTTTGACAGTTCATTTGAAGAACAGTCGGCTGAAGTTCCGTGCAGTCTTCAACCTTCAATCTTCGAACGGATGGGTAATCTTCAAAGAGGTTACTCAGAGCCCCGAATCATCAGGGGTAACTCGGGTCAGGGGTAACTCGGGTTCGTTTTTCGGGAATTCAAACCCGAGTTACCCCGGACCCGAGTTACCCCGGATAACTCGGGGGTTCAGAGCCCCGAATCATCAGGGGTAACTCGGGTCAGGGCTAACTCGGGTTCCTTTTCCGGGAATCCAAACCCGAGTTACCCCGGACCCGAGTTACCCCGGATAACTCGGGCGTCCAAGTTACCAGCAGGTTGTTGTATAGTGTTGCTGGAGCACTCCTCCTCCTCCTCCTCTTCTGTACTCGCCTCCATCCCTTTCGTATTCCCGACCGCCTTCCGCGCTGGAGGAGGACGAGGGGAAATCACAAACCAATCACGAAGAGGAGGAGGAAGAGGAGGAGGAGGAGGAGTAGGAGGAGGAGGAGGTGCAATGCCGATGAGGATGAGGAGGAGGAGGAGCAGCAGCAGCAGCAGCAAGGATGAGGATGAGGAGGGGCATACCGTCAAGCGACTTTTGAAGAATCCTGAACATAATCTCGCTGAGATTTGATCTCTGATATTCAACTAGAGGTGTCTGCCTCCAGCAGGTTGTTCAGCGCCGGTTTGAAGAATGCTGGGCATATAAGTTTCATGAGATCTTGACCTCTTGAACATTCAAGCATATGGAGGATGTGCTTTAGAGCGTTTAAAACCAAGCTTTCAAATGTTTTGAAACATCGTTGTCCGTTGTCCTACTTGTTTTTGGTCCCATCTCTCTCATTCTCCTTGTTTCCCCCAGAAGCAAGCTGGAGGAGGTGCGCAATGGACGAGGAGGGGGCGGAACAGTAGCATTAGGGAGATTCAGAAGAAAGAGAATGAGGAGCATGATTAAGACAGCTCCAACAGGTAGTTGCTATCCGGTAATATGTTGTTCAAGAACTATAATTGTACGCCGGTCAAACCCTGCACCGATGTAGTCAATTCGTCAATGGTGGGCTCTATCGTCGACGGGCGCGCGAGGCTGGAGCCACAGATCAATGATGCAATGGCCTGTCCACGCCAGCAGCTCTTCCATCGTCCTACAGCGCACGCGGTGCGCGCCAGGGTGGCCTCGGACGGTGTCGCCGTGCACCGTTGTCGCTCTCAGCTGCTGAACCGAGACGTGCACCTGATCACTGGCAGCGTTCGGATAATGTTGTGCGTGTCCACGGGGCAGCGCCGCGAATGGCCCGCAGCGCGCAGCAGCAGAACGTGATCGACGCTGCCTTCGCGAAGTACCACACGCAGATGCAGCCTCCCACGTACATCCGCACGGCCAACGAGGAGCTCATGCGCCATGTCCATCCGAGCCCTGCCGCAACGTTCGGGAGGTCCGTTGCGCCCTCGCTAGCATCGGAGGACCCGGCGCCGCGAATGCAGGCGCACGCTGTGGCAGCGGCGGCAACCAGCGCGAAGCGGAGCAATTTTGCCCTGGATATCAGCGCGCCGTCCGTTCGGCGCAAGTTTTTCTCGAAAGCGCCGTTTTCCCCGCCGGCCCCGTCGCAGCAGGCTTCGGGGGGGCTCGGTGCCAGTAGGCGGGGCTCCGGCCGCGCCGCGTGCTTCTACGAACATGTATAGCAGCCAGGAGACCGTCTCAGATGGGCCTAGCGGTGCCTCGCGCACGCCGTGGACACTGTCGTATAAGGTGCCAACGTCAGTTACGACCATAACAACATCAGCTGCATCATCATCGTCATCGTTGCCATCTTCATCATCATCACATTTGTATCCCACCGATCATTTGTATTTTCTCCTCCTCCGAGCTGGCTGAATCTCAGCGGAAGCGTGGCCGCTTCTCTCGCTGTCGGCGTTCGCCGTGCCACCAGTTGTCTCAAGAAGTCGCGCGGCTGCTTTTTATGTGTCCGCGGTTCGGGCCAATTGCGCCGCCGCGGCCGTGGACTTCGAGAGGAACAGCGTGGAAAACGATTTCTCTCGCGCTTCTTCGCGCCTCCACCACGCCCACCATGTCGAGTTGCGCGTGCGCGGCACTTCGCGTCATCCTCGTCTTCGCCGACGACGCGGCCCTGTCGCGCTACCAGAAGTGCCCGGGGCGTTGCGGCGAGCCGGCCCTGTGCCGGGAGCCGCGCGACGCTTCGTGGAGGTTCGCGCGGGCGCGCAGATCTTGGAACGGGGGAGCTTGCTTGAGCGAGGCCGCGGGGGCGACGGGCGTCTTCTCACCCCGGCGGGTGAACCGCCGCCCCCCCCCCCCTGCGTTTCGCCCTCCCGACGGGCAAGGATTGCCGCGCAAAGAACAGATGCGAGGAGATGGGGCGGGGGGGCCCACGTCGCGAACCATGGGGCAGTTGATTCTCGGAAGAAACCCTACCCGCCTGCCTTGCAACGCAGAGCCGACGAAGTAGAGGGCACCAAGGTCGGCGACGTCGACGAGGCGGCCGCGGCGGGCGAGGCCCCTATCTGCCGCGGCGAGCCCAAGTTCTACGGGCCCATCGGCTTCTAGCCGAAGCCCCGCGCCACCGGCAGGCATGAGCGAAATCCCCTGCTGACGAAAGTGGAGCCAGGAAGGGCCCCGCGGTAAAAAGCGCCAAGGAGGCTTGCGTGACGAGGGCCATGGCGAAGACGCGCATAAAAACCGCGGAGAAGACGGGGCGGAATAATGCCGCACGGCGCTGCAGGAAGACAGCGGGCGCCCAGGGCGACGGGCGCGCGTCTCGGGCGGCTTTGAGCGGCGGCGGAACGCGGGTCGAAGTCGACAGGGGGGCGGTCGCGCAAGCTGGGTGGCGCGCGCATCTCCGCGGGCCTGCCCCCGATGGCGGCAGACGCACATGGCGGCGAGCCTCGCGGGGCGAAGTCGATGGCGCCAGCGCCGAAGGAGCGACGGTCGAGCGGCGGGCCGCGGAGGCGGCCGCGGAGACGGTGGACTTGAAGGCGAAGGTCACACTGAAACTCAACAAGGGTTGCCGCCATCTCGTCGCTGGCGCCCGCGCGAACGACGTCGAGAGCGAGTTCGCGCGCCTCGAGCTCTTCCTCCGCAGCAAGTTCGGCCGTGCGCGTTCCTCGCACAGCGCCCGCGTCGCCCGCGAGGACGGGGTTCTCTTCCCGCGCATTGCAGAGCGCGTGAAATAGAGCGCCGGGGGTGGCATGCTCTTCGTCGCATCAGCTTTTCGCCGCGCCGGAGGAGCGAACAGGGGGCCCGTCGGACTGCGATCCCGCGGGGAATTGGATTTCGCATGCGGGGGCGGGGGCGCGACTCTTATGCGGGTCGCGAAGCGGCCGCAAGTAGAGGTTCGCAAATTCGCGGCGTTGGACTGTCTCCCCAATGGCTCAGAGAAACGACGCCCCCTGTTAGGCCCGCGCGGCCATGCGTATGCGCATGTTGTATATATGTACATATATACACACATTACATCTATATATATAGATCAATAGGTAGGTCCATCCATGCGCATATATAAGCACACGGCCATCGGCCCCAGGTGGGGGGCCGGGCCCCCGCGCCGCACCCCCATCCGGGGCGCGCCCCGGGCCAGGCATGTCGCCAGGCGGCCCCCAGATCGCTCCAAGCGCGATCCGGACTCGGACTGGGAAGACCGCCCCACATCGCCCCCAACACAGCCCTCAGACAGCCCCAGAGCGGTCAGTGACTCCCGCGAGGCCTCCCAGAGCATTCCCGAGGAGGCCTCCCCCACCGACAGGCGATGAATGCACCGACGCGGGCGCGGCAGATGCGCGCGAACATAGCCGATGGAGCCTCCGGTGCGGCCCCCCTCGCCGGGTCGCGAAGCGCGCGAGGGGCGCGCCGAACTGGGCGGGGCGGGCGCGCGCGAAAGCCGCCGTTGAGCCTGCGGTGGCATCCCCATATGGGGCCGCGAAACGCGCGAGCGGTGAGATTTGACATAGGCGGGGGCGGACGCATGCGAGTGCAGCCGCTGGGGATTTCGGCGCCGCCCCCAAATCAGGCCGCGAGCGAAGTGCGCCAGACTAGGCGGGCCGCGCGCGCACGAACATTGCCGATGGGGCCTTCGGTGGAGCTACTTATGTGGCCGCGAAACGCGCGAGGGGCGCGCCGACGCGGGCGCGGCGGGCACGCGCGAACGCAGCAAACCGCCGGTGGAGCGCCCAACGGGGCCACGACGCGCGCGGCGGGCGTGGCGAAAAAGCGAGGAAACTTGTTAGATCGTCATCCGCGGGCGCAATTGCTGGCGTTTTCTGCGAAGTTTTCTGGGCCGCGAGACGCGCGAGGGGTGTGCCGCAATGAGCGCGGGCCCCGCCCCCTGGGGTTCTCGGCGGGGCCCCGCATGCGATCGCAAAGCGCGCGGGGGGCGCGCTGCAGTGTGCGCGGCGGGCGCGTGCGAACGCAGCGGCAGGGGCCGTCGGTGGGGTTCCCCATGGGGGCGCGAAAAGCGTGAGCGTTGTGCCGAAATATGCGCGTCGGTCCATGTGCAAGCAACCACTGGGGCCTTCGGTGGAGCTCCTCATGGGGCCACGAAGCGCGTGAGGGGTGTGCCGAAGGGAGCGCGGCGGGCGCGTGCGACCGCAATCACAGGGGCCTTCGGCGGAGTTCTTTATAGGATCACGAATCATGTGATGGATGTGCCGGAATGGGCGCGGCGGGCGCATGCGCGCGCAGCAGGCCGTCGGTGGAGCTCCGTGTGGGGCCACAGAACGTGTGAGGGGTGTGCCGAAATTTGCGCGGCGGGCGCATGCGAAAGCAGTCACTAGGGTTTCGGTGGGGCTCCCTAGAGGGCCACGAAGCGTGCGACTGGTGTGCCAAAGCGGGTTAGGCGGGCGCATGCGAACGCAGCCTTTGGGCTTTCGGTGGAGCGCTTCATCGGGTCGCGATGCGTGTGTGTGTGTGTGTGTGTGCGTGTGTGCGTGTGTGCGTGTGTGCGTGTGTGCGTGTGTGCGTGTGTGCGTGTGTGCGTGTGTGCGTGTGTGCGTGTGTGCGTGTGTGCGTGTGTGTGTGTGTGCGTGTGTGCGTGTGTGTGTGTGTGTGCGTGTGTGCGTGTGTGCGTGTGTGCGCGTGTGCGCGTGTGTGCGTGTGTGCGCGTGTGCGCGTGTGCGCGTGTGCGCGTGTGCGCGTGTGCGCGTGTGCGCGTGTGCGCGTGTGCGCGTGTGCGCGTGTGCGCGTGTGCGCGTGTGCGCGTGTGCGCGTGTGCGCGTGTGCGCGTGTGCGCGTGCGCGTGTGCGCGTGTGCGCGTGTGCGTGTGTGCGCGTGTGCGCGTGTGCGCGTGTGCGCGTGTGCGCGTGTGCGCGTGTGCGCGTGTGCGCGTGTGCGTGTCTGCGTGTGCGCGTGCGCGTGCGCGTGCGCGTGCGCGCGCGCGCGCGCGTGCGCGTGCGCGTGCGCGTGCGCGTGCGCGTGCGCGTGTGCGCGTGCGTGCGTGCGTGCGTGCGTGCGTGTGTGTGTGTGTGTGTGTATGTGTGTTGCGGCGGGCGCATGCGAACGCAGCCGTTGGGGCATTCGGTGGAGTTCCCTACGGGGCCACGGGTCGTGTGAGAGGTGTGCCGATATATATATATATATATATATATATATATATATATATGCAGCGGGCGCGTCCGAACGTAACCGCACGGGCCTTCGATTGAGCTGCTGGTGGTGCCACGAAACGTTTGAGGTGTGTGTGGGTGTGCCGAAATGGGTCTGGCGGGCACATGCGAATGCAGTCACAGGGGCCTTCGGTGGAGCTCCCAAATGCAGGGATGGGACGAGGAGGAATGGATCATCGGGCCGTTGTCTTTTCAAAACGGGGGCCCATCACCACAGGATGGTTAGGAACAAATGTATCGAAACGACCGGTCCGATTTCGGTAGGCGGCTCAGCTGCCGGTTTTGGGGTGTCCAGCGCTGATTGACGAATGTGTGTCCCCGGTGATGGTGGGCGGCGAAATTCCCAGGTTTTGGGGTGTAGGTGCTGGTGCATTTCGCGCCGATTCCAATGGGAGGCCGGTTGTCGGGCATCAAGGGTACAGAGTGCAGAGTAGAAAGAGTGGAGTGAGGGAGAAGTATGCGTTTTTGAACTCATAAAGCACAGTAGGCATAATGAGTGATAAGAGCAGAGAGGATAAAGACTGGGCAGTATACAAGCCGGCCGCTTTGCGATTGACCTGGAGTTTCTGCTTGTAGAATCGTGGTGTGAGCCTTTGCCGTGATGCCGCGGTGGAGATGATGCGTTAGGAGGCTTGATCAGTTGATGGGGTCGGAAGATCGCGTCGCATCGCCGATGCATCGGCGAGGCGGCTCGATGTGCCCGATTGTCTCCACGCTGACGGCGCCTGTGCATCGCCGATGTATCGGCGATGCGGCGCGATCCTCCGACCCCATCTGCTCGGACCCCATCTGGGAGGCCTCTAAGTGGAGGACACGGGGCAGAGCACAGAGTGCAGAAAGCAGTGAGCAGAGAGCGTAGAGTCTTTTCAGAGTCCATAGTGGGAGGCGACGGTAGAGAACAGAAGGCAATTGCCCAGAGTACTCACATGGCGGGGAGAGGTCGGAGGTAGAAGCCACGTATGGGTCTGGGAGGGCGCAGAGCGGAAGAAGATAGTAGACTAGGGGGCCACATGCGAACCCTACCCCTACCCCCCACGATTTCTGGGGGGGAGGGTGGGGTTCACTTCGCTCAGGAGCTCCCGAACGGAGTGAACCCGACCCTCCCCCTCAGAAATCGTGGGGGGTAGGGGCAGGGTTCGCACGTGGCCCCCTATAGACAGCATGGTACGTAGATCTTGCAAGAACTCTGCTAACCACATTCGTCATCTCTTGCTTTCGCCCGCAACTGGCGCGCTGTCCTACTCTCCGATGCACCAACACGTGATTGGGCTGCTCTGCGGGGGTGTCACCTCAGAGAGAAATAGCGTGGAGTCTGGTGAGAGAGGGAGAGCGAGCGAGAGAAAGAGAGAAAGGGAGAGAAAGAGAGAGAGAACTTATGACAGGGGTTACGACACACAAATCGTGTGTGTGTGTTACAGCTTGTATTGCCGAAGATGTATGAGCTATTGGTTTGTCACTTCATCCGAATTGTATCTCGCCGTAGAGCTGTGGCGTAGCTGTTCAGGGCTGCATGCGCACGGCGTCCGACCACGAGCTCTCTACGAAGTCGAGGGAGAAAGAGTTGAAGGTCATTGCGGAGGCATGTGCCACCGAGCAGATCTCGTCCTAGGGATGTCAGTTCGCGAGGGAGCGTGCACGCACCAGTTGCGCGCGCCGTGTTGGATAGACGCGCATCTTGTCTTGTCCAGTCTGCGCCGTAGAGATGCTCTACTCCAGCGTGTGCGGCGCGAGAGCGCAGTTACAGTTTTTGACGCTTCACGCATCCCCGCCACCTCATCCCGAAACGAAGTCCGGGGTAAGTGTCCGGATAGTGTGCGTAGATGTGTGCACAGTTGGGCAAGGAAGCCAATGCTAGTGAACTTAGAGACCTCGGGGAGCGTCTCGGAGGCCTTGGGGAACTCTCTTGGGGCCCTCGTTTGGGGAGCTCTCGAAGCGCTTTTGAGGTTCTTCTCTTGGGAGCCTCTTGGGGACCGTGGGGACCATCATGGAGGCCATCCGTGAAAACATAGAACGTCGCCTATACGAGCCTCCGTCGGGGCCTTGAAGCTCCATTCTTGGAACGCTATTTGGGGCGTCTCGAAGCCCTCCTAGACTCCTATTGCGGCCCCAAGGGTGTCAACAGCCCATGGGGAGCTACGGTGCGAGCGTGACAAAACCACTGTTTCCCGCATTGTTGTGTTTAAGGTTTTCGTGTTGTCGGGGGCGTCTCTTCTCTTGGGAGCCTCTTGGGGACCGTGGGGACCATCATGGAGGCCATCCGTGAAAACATAGAACGTCGCCTATACGAGCCTCCGTCGGGGCCTTGAAGCTCCATTCTTGGAACGCTATTTGGGGCGTCTCGAAGCCCTCCTAGACTCCTATTGCGGCCCCAAGGGTGTCAACAGCCCATGGGGAGCTACGGTGCGATCGTGACAAAATCACTGTTTCCCGCATTGTTGTGTTGAAGGTTTTCGTGTTGTCGGGGGCGTCTTTGGGAGAACCGGAGGCCACTCGAGCGGTGTTAGGGCGGCCTTGAGGTCTCTTGCAGGCATGTTGGAGGCTACCTTGAGCAATCCTACGCCATCTTGTGCCATCTGGGAGATAATACTGGAGCTATCTTACAACCATCTTCAGCCATTGTTATCTTATTATCTGGGGTAACGGCTGTTGCCCAGGGGGGGGGGTCGGCCGGCTGGTAACGGTAACGGCGGCCGCGGCGTGCGCTTGCCAGGGTGCGTCCGCGCCATGCGCGCTGCATTCCCTGCGCACGCGACAATGCCAAATACATTCGTGCAAGACAACGCAGCCTGAGTGCACCACAATGCTTCGGTACACCGCAACAGCTGCGTGCACAACGCCACCACGTCGCCCATGTACGCCGCAAAATCTGTGCATACTGCAGCAACCGTGTGCGCAACAGCGCTTGTGTACACCACGTTGCCTGCGTGTACCAGAGCGCTTGTGTACACCGCAGCGCCTGCGTGCACCACTGCAACCATGTGCACCACAGCGCCTGCGCACGCCACGATGCTTCCGTGCACCACAACACCTGTCTACAACAAAACGTGCCAACGGGCACATCAGTAGCTTGCGAAGCCTTTTTTTGCGGGTCCCGCCAGGGACCGCGGAAGCCCTCACCACGTCGCCCGTGTATACCGCAGCACCTTGAAAATAGCATCGATGGCACGCAAGCTGCTGGGCTGGCACTGTGTGAAGTTTTGGCAAGACCATCCGCAGCTTGCTTTGAACGAGGCGGCCAAGAGGAGATGGATACATATATACATATATATTTATATGTATACATATATTGGAGGAGAGGGACCACTCGAGAGCGAGGTGGAGGATGGAAGGAGGCGGGAGGGAGTGGGGGAGGTCCGAAAGAGGTGGGCGTTGTTTTTTGACCGGCATGTGCGCAGAGAAAGGGCGAGCAGCCACATCGTTCTTCGGCGCGCCAGCACGCAGCGAACACGTCGCGAAAAAATCGGCCCGCGGATGCGAGCGACAACTTGCGAGGAGGACGAGGAGGAGCGACGGGGAGGACGAGGCGAAGGGGCCGAGGAGGACGGGCGATGGGGAGGAGGAGCGATGGGGAGGACGAGCGATGGGGAGGAGGCGAAGGGATGGGCGATCGGGAGGAGGAGCGATGGGGAGGACGAGGAGGGCGGTGTGCGGATAACCCCATATGGCCCAAACGGCAACTCATCTAATCCCAATGACGCACAATTCCATCCAGAGGGGAAGAGGAAGGAGAAGAGGAGGAGGAGGAGGGGCAGAGGACGAAGAAGGGGGACGATATTCATAGGCGGTGGAGCCGGCGGAAAAGAGGTAGGATTATGTCATGCCGTACAGCAATTTCAGTCATGGCATCGTTCGACGTCGCCTCGCCTTCGTCAGCGCCAGTTGTAACAGAGGCGGGATAAACGTTGCTCCGCCCAGACATGGCTGCGAAATCCCTTGACAGCGTTGCTTCCAGAGTTCCACTAGTAGGAAGGGCAGGGGAAGGGACCATAGGGATGTAGACGTAAACCACACAAGTCCGCGCACCGCAATAGCCTGCAGGCGCCACAACAGGCAGGTGGGCACCGAAACATGCGTTTTAGCACCAGGCCATGCCTGTGAATTCGGCGCCGCAACAGGTGGGGAACCTGCGAACGCCACAACACGTTTGTGAACACCACACATGCCTTTTCAGCACCACGCCATGCCTGTGAGCACAGCGTCATACCTGCTGAGAGGAGGGGGGTCCACCCTCCACCCCCAAAAATGTACAATCGTTAGCGTTACCTGGGGGGGGGGGGGGGGCACGGGTAACCAGCGTTACCCGCCAGAGGGGGAGAACAAAAACGCTCTTTTGGACGCCCCAATTCCTCGCGATCCCCCCCTTCCAAGCCCATGCGAGGGGGTGGGAGGGGGGATGCGGGGGGGGCGCCCCACCCCGAAGGGGAAGAAGGGGGTTGACAGAATTTATTGATTCGCGGGTCGAGAGCGCACCTCTTCCGGTCGAAACTAAGCGGGCCGCGCGAAGCTTGCATTGACAATGAGGGGGAGGAAGGGGGGAGAGCGCAGCCTCAGGGCGAAGAATGGGGTTGACAGAAAGAGCAAGCTTAAGCAACCTGCGCTCAGGGGGCTGGTGGGGTCCCGCGGGGCGTTTCGCGCGGCGACGCTAGGTGACCGAATACCTTCTTCCCGGAGCTGGGGAGCGCACGCACAGTTGTCCGTGTCGATGATCCTTTTGACGTGTTGGCCCAATGTGTGTGTGTGTTACCTCTTTCGGCCTGTGGCGGCCATCGTAGCGCCGCTCGCGTCATACTCAAGGGCGCCAGTGGGCAAGCACACGTGTCGTTGGCGAAAGAGCGCCAGTGGATCCCCCTCCTCTCGAAATGGGGGTGGGGGTGCTCGCACCCCCGCCCCATCCCTCCTTGAAATGGGGAGGGGGTTGTTCGGACCCCCCCCCTCTCCCTTTGAAGGGGATGGGTGGGGGGCTCGGGCCCTCCTCGCACTTGCGCAGGAGATGGCTCGGGGGGGACCCGCTCCTATCCCTCTTTGCGCCGGTTAGAGTGTTACGATAGGGTCCGGGTTGGTGTGTCAGGGTTAGGGCGGTAGGGTTATGGCTTCGGGCGGTAAGGTTAGGATTGGGGTGTTAGGGTTAGGATGTCAGGGTCGGGGCATTGGGGTCAGGGTGTGGTACTGCTATTGTGTTAGGGTAAGGGTAGGATGTCAGGGTCAGCCGCTCCTGACAGTCGTTGACTGATAATAAAATTCGGGAAAAAAAATTGCTGGTATTGTGTTAAAGTAAGGGTGTCAAGTGTTAGGGCTGGGATGTGGAGGGCAGGGTGTCGGGCCGCCAGTCGAGTCCGAGGCCCGGCCTCCGCCCTCGAGAAATTATAGAATCGGGGGTGGACAGAACCCCCAACAGTGACACGTCGATTAGTGAATTGTCCGTTTTCGGTTCTCGAGATGGCGCCGTGGCCGTTATTTTCCAGGCTTGCGCCCGCCAGGTTTGGGCCTCTGGTCGTTTTCACTAAACCACGTTTTACTAAAGGGGGTTCTGTCCATCCCCGATAGAACTGTCTTGCCCCATGGATGTTCAGGCCGTCTATTGGCTCGGGGACGTTGCGCCTTTGCTTTTGTCTGTTCGTGTCCTGATCTGTCGTCATGCACTTCGCTCTCTGCACCGCCTGATCCCGGGGCTCTGCCCTCTCCTGGCCTTGGCGTGAGGCCCCGCCTTCTTTTTCCCTTCCTCCGTCAATGAAAGCTGTGCGCGGTCCGCTTAGCTTCGACTGGAAGAGGCTCGCTCTCGACCCGCGGATCAAAAAACAAGTCGATGTTCCTTGGCATCGCTCGGACGTGTGCATTTTTTCTCGGCGAGGACCATCCTGGACCATCCTGGACCATCGAGCATAAAAAAAAACACGCAGCACACCGAAACATGCACGGGAAATGGACGTCCGAGCAAGTGTCCAGGCCGTCGGTTGGTTCGGAGACGGTGCACCTTTGCTTTTACTTGTTCGTGCCTTGATTTGCTGTTGCAAGTCCCCAGTGGTGTTGCGAACGGGGCTCCTTGCAGTTCGATCAAGCTGAGCGTGGAGTATAGTGGCCGCCGCTGCGCGCATTGCTCTTCAGGGGCCACGCGGCGGAGGGTTGACGCGTGCTTCCCCTGAAGTGAAGACGGACCAGGAGGGGACGCGATGTATAGTTCCGGACAATAGGTATAAGCGTTAAATGTTTGATTTCTCTCGGAGACAAACATATTTGATATATGACTCTAGAGTTGGGGGCCGCCGCGCGTGCCAGCATATAGCAATCTCGGCTCAAGCGCCTCGGCTCACAGCGCAGGCCCTGGGCCTCCCGGTTCTCAGCACCTCCGGACCCCAAGCTGGATGCACGGCGGCATGGCTGGAGGCCTCTCATCCCCGCTGCGGCTTTCTGAACGCGCTCGACGCCCTGCCTGGCCCACCCGGCCAGGGCGCGACGGCCTTGCAGCTGCGCTTGCACCGAGGCCACCGCCCACTTCTGCGTGCCCGCGGGCGCCTTCCACGAGGGGTTCGCCGTCGGCTCGACGGAGCGCCCAGCGTGCGACGAACACGGGGACGTCGTCCCCGAGGAGATCTTGACGGTCGAGTACGCGTCCGTGCAGATGGATCGCGTCAGCTCCTTCGGGGAGGCCTTGAACGCCCAGCTATTTCCCTTCGGCCTCGAAGGGTTGTGGCCGGCGACTGCCGCGCTTTTTCAGTGCCCGAAGAGTTCGGAGAGCAGGCCGACGATTTCGTCTCCGCGCCCGCTGGGAATGGCGGACCCGATGGCTCCCTGCAGGAGCCCCGCGCGGTTCCCACGGGGCGACGTGCTGGGGCAGATCGAGGCGCGTGCGCGGGCGCCACTTGTCGAGGCACATCCGTGCTCCCGCCTCTGGCCGTTGAGCATTTTTCGTCAGTGTGCTGGAGGGGCCGTTCGTGCACATGACTTGTGACCGTTGCCAGCAGCTCGGCGGAGACCGCCGAGGTACGCGAGCAGATGGCGGGATTGGCTGGCGCCCTCGAGCGCATCGAATCAGCCATGGCAGGCAGGGGCAGAACGTTTCTGCAGCCTACGGGCTTCCGCGCGGCCGCCGCTGCCGTAGCCCCTGGGCTGGCCTCTCTGTGCAGCGGGGGGGGGGCCCTGGCGGGAGGAGGAGGCGGAGGAGGAGGCGGAGGAGGAGGAGGAGGAGGAGGAGGGAGGAGGGGGAGGGAGAGGGAGGAGGAGAGGAAGGAGGAGGAGAGAGGGAGGAGCAGGAGGAGCAGGAGGAGCAGGAGGAGGAGGAGGGAGGAGGGAGGAGGGGAGAAGGAGGGAGGAGGGGGGAGGGAGGGAGGGGGGGAGGGAGGAGGAGGGAGGGAGGAGGAGGAGGAGGAGGAGGAGGAGGAGGAGGGAGGAAAGAGGAGGCAGGGAGGGAGGAGCCTCCCCCGCGGCTCCCGCCGACGCGGCCGCGGCCGTTCCTCGTGCGGGCCTGCCGGGAGCCGCGGCGCCGCCCGGCCTCGGCGCGCTCGAGGAGGTCGCCGCTCTCGCGGGGCCGCCACCGGTCATCCACGTCAACGGCACCGTAACGGGTACTTACCAACGGGTACTTTGAATTGTTGCCGAAAGTTGCCATTTTAGGGCCTTTTTCCTGCATTGCAGCTTTTCAGAGCCCCGAATCATCGGGGATAACTCGGGTCAGGGATAACTCGGGTTCGTTTTTCGGGAATCCGAACCCGAGTTACCCCGGACCCGAGTTACCCCGGATAACTCGGGCGTCCAGAGCCCCGAATCATCAGGGGTAATTCGGGTCAGGGCTAACTCGGGTTCCTTTCTCGGGAATCCAAACCCGAGTTACCCCGGACCCGAGTTACCCCGGACCCGAGTTACCCCGGACCCGAGTTACCCCGACTAACGTCGGGGATGGACAGAACCCCCAACAGTGACACGTCGATTAGTGAATTGTTCGTTTTCGGTTCTCGAGAGGGCGCCGTGGCCGTCAGTTTCCAGGCTTGCGCCCGCCAGGTTTGGGCCTCAGGTCGTTTTCACTAAACCACGTTTTACTAAAGGGGGGTCTGTCCATCCCCGATAACGGGTACTTTGAATTGTTGCCGAAAGTTGCCATTTTAGGGCCTTCTTCCTGCATTGCAGCTTTGCCCACATCGGGAAGGGTCGGGTTCGCTGGGTCAGTGGCCAAAGTACCCGTTAGTGGAGTCCCCGTGTGAGGGGCGCTGACCACGGGAGGAGAACCACCCGGTCGGGACAGTTGGCGTTGGCTTGGCATCGCTCGGACGTGTGCATTTTTTTCCCGGCGAGGGCCATTGAGGAGCATCCTTGACCATCGAGCCAAACAACCACGCACGAAACCGAGAAACAATTAGGGAATGGACGTCCGTCCGAGCGATGGCCAGAGGGAGGAGAACCACCTGGACGGGACAGCTGGCGTTGGCGAAACGGCCCTGGGCGTTTACTAAGCAGCCCTGTCCTGTTTGATCCGTAAGGGCTTCGCCCCCTGCCGCTGGCCCCCTCTCTATAGAATGAGATACATCAGAGCTACATTGGGATGTTCGGGCGCCGTCTTGATGACACTCGGGAACGTCATGCTAGGACAGTTGGCGTTTACTAAGCAGCCCTGTCCTGTTTGATTCCTTCCTTGGGTGCGTATACCGAACGGTTTTGCGTGGTGGGGTGGTTGTATTATCAGGGCGGGTTTTCTGCCCTCTAGGTACGGCGCGCGCCCATGGCCGGGGGCACGCCGCCAGGACTGGCGCTGCCCCCGCCCAGCGCGCCGTCTGCTGCCAGGCCACGGCTGGTGCCGAACGAAAGGGGAGGATAGGGAAGAGGGGGGTACGAAATCTGTTGCATGCAGCTGGTTTCGGCCCCGCCGCCGGGCCCGTTCCTCGATACATGGGCGCCTCCCCGCGCCAGGAGGCGCTGGGAAAATCAGCCACGTGAGCTGATTCTCTGCCCTACCCTTTGCTATCCCCCCCTTTCGTTCCCCCCGGCCCCCCCCCCGCCGCCGTCGGGAGGGCGACCTGCGCATGCTACGCCCGCGCCCGCTCCCGAGGTGCCCACCGCGGCTCTGGCGGAGGCGCTCCAGGCCATCACCGACCAGAGCCGGGCGACCGCCGCGCTGCTCGCCCAGGGCTCGGCGGCGGCAGCCGACCAAATGTGCGCGTTGCTCGGAGGCGGCGACGGCGCGGGCGGCGGGCCGGGCACGAAGCTTCCTGGGGCCAAGGGCGCAGCTGCCCTAAAAGTCTGGCGCCGGCACTTGGAGGCGAATCCGGCGTCCATGGTTGTTACTGTTTGTTGCAATGCCCGCCGGGTACTGGCCGCCAGCGACGGGGACACGGACCTGGGGGTGAACTCGATGCGGGAGTATTTGTCCAGGCAGGTCGCCTTCGGCCAAGCGAAGGGTGTCGCATACCTCGCCTACGGCATCGCGACGGTGGCCGACTTTTCACGGTCGGCCAGCGGGAGAGAGCGGAGGCGACTCTGCTCCTACTAACTTACTGTGTGCCATCGAGCAGTCATGCCTCCACAGGAGCCGCCGGTCGCTCGGCGTGGCTGCCGACGCACCTGCCCGCGCCCCCCTGGGGCCAGATCTCCTAGGGCCCGCCTGCCGATCCGCTTCGCCCATTCGGCTGCCTGGCGGAGCCGGCGTGGACAGCGGCAGCGATGGCGTTCACCAAGAGGACGCAGCGGCCCCCACGAGCTCCGCCGGAGGACCGGCCCGTGGCAGAGCGACGACGACAAGGGCGGCGCCCCCAAGGGCAAGGACAGGGGCCCCAAGGCAGACCCCCCCGCGGGCGCATAGAATGCTCACGCCCGCCCAAGAGGAGGCCGGCCCCTCGACTTCATTTCGGCCGCTGTGACGCCGACTTCCCTCGTGCCCGGCAGGACCATATTCTCCTGGACTGGGCCCTTTTGGGGGCATCGGTTACCGCTACCTGCACTGCGCTGGGGGCTTGGATTTCCTCCACCAAGTGCCCCGATCCTCGTGGCGGCCCCTCTCGGGAGCCCTGTCGCGCCATCGGGTTTCGCGGATTGCCCTGCCCAGCGCCATATCCGCGGGCAGACGGGCCTGCCCACCGCCCCAGCCGACGGCGCGTCCGCTGCGCTGGCGCGCCCGCCGCGCGAATGTCTTGGTTTGCGCGCTCTCGCAGCTGGCTGCTCGCGGCCGCCGGGTCGCCCCTGCAGCCGCCAGGAGCGGGAGGCCCCTCACCGATTCGCAGAAGGAGATCTGCGATCAGCTGCTAGGGCTTGCGAGGCTCATCCACCGCCTGCTCTTCACCTTGGGCGGCCGCGAAACCGCGAAGTTGAATTCCACGTGCGATTATGCCGCGATGGTGCAGGCAGCCGTCCTGCGCAGCACCTGCGCGCCGCCTGCGGCCCGCAACGGGGAAGACTTCACATCCGAGCGCGCCGAGTTCCTCGCGGCGCCGGCTTGTTTAGACCCCGCTCCATACATTGGACAGTTCGATGCGGCGTGCTTCCGACTCCTCGAGGTGCCTTGGCCACTACTGCCGCTGACGCTGGCGACCGGCGGCCGCCGCGGCAAGGCGGCATTCCAGCAGCTGCGCTGGCTGGCGCGGGACTGGGCGCAGGGCCTCGGCGACGGCCCGGCTGCGGCGGCGGCCGCCAGCGCGCTGACTCGGCGGCGGGGCGCCTAGCTCAGCGTGGCGTTCCACCGGGCCACCGCCCGGCAAGTCCGCGCAGCCGTGGGCGGCGAGAGCAGGGCGGCGGGCGCGGCCCGGCTGGCCGCGGAGCTCGCTGGCTGAGCAGCCGAGAAGCGGTCCAGAGGCGCGGGCGGGGCTCGTCGTGGCCGGCTACTGGTTCGTCAAGCGTTCGGCGGAGCTCAGGGAGGAGGAGGAGGAGGAGGAGGAGGTGGGGGAGGAGGAGGAGGAGGAGGAGGAGGAGGAGGAGGAGGAGGAGGAGGAGGAGGAGGAGGAGGAGGAGGAGGAGGAGGGCGAGGATGAGGACGAGGACGAGGACGAGGAGGACGAGGAGGAGAAGGAGGACGAGAAGGACGGGGAGGACGAGGAGATGGAGATGGAGGATAATGAGGAGGAGGAGGAGGAGGAGGAGGAGGAGGAGGAGTGGACACGTCGAGAGCAAGGCTGCGCCATCCAGCAAAGAAGACTGAAAGGGCAGACCCTGCACAGCTAAGCGGCACATGGCGGCTTTCTAACCAACACGCCAGAAGGCCCAACCCACAGAAAACAGCCACGGACAATCCCGTGCAATTCAAAACTGGGACTATCAGGTGGCAGGCTACAAACGACATCAGCTGGTTGCCAACCCACATTACAACTTGCGCTGAGAACTAACAGCTACAAGTATACCAAAAGAGAGTGGCATCGGTATCAAGTGCATCAGGGCCGACCTAAATGGCCACAAGTTTGTAGCCTCAGGTTCATGTTGCACAATACCATCGGCCCGCAAAAGACGTCCAGACATAATAACGAGACAACGTAATCACATTTGATGGGATAGATGGTGCATCGCAACGCCGAGCCAGGGCATGGTTAACAAAATGTCCCCCCCTTGTTGCTCTGTCCCCAAAGCTCCAGTACCTCCTCATCCAGGGTCTGCTGCCCTGAGCACGCAGATTGCACAGAGATCGGCACGCGGCGCATTTGCAAACTGACAAAAACCTATCGGCTTTCGGGGACCAGGATTCCGCCACAAAGTTAATTGTGCTCCCAAGCACCGGCGGGCATGCTTTCTCAAACGCTGGCGAAAACAACCTGGATAACGGTTCCACCGGCCACAACCCCAGCAGAGGGAGGAGGAGGAAGAGGAAAAGGAGGAGGAGGCCGGAGAACGGAAGAGTAGAGATTGGGCATTTCACACGGCGCAGGTTTGGCCAGACGAGGACGAGGACGAGGAGGAGGAGTCCGAGGACGAGGACGAAAACATGGAAGAGGGGGAGGAGGAGGAGGACGATGAGGAGGAGGAGGAGGAGGAGGAGGACGAAGAGGAGGAAGAGGAGAAGGAGGAGGAGAAGGACGAGGACGAAGAGGAGGAGGAGAAGGAGTAGGTGGACGAGGAGCAGGAGGAGGAGGAGGCGGAGGAGGACGAGGAGGAGGAGGAGAAGGAGGACGAGGACGAGGACGAGGAGGAGGAGGAGGAGGAGGAGGAGGAGGAGGAAGGGGACGAGGGGGAGGAGGGAGGAGGAGGGAGGAGGGGGAGCCTCTTCGCCTTCCCGTCGGGAAGGCCCGCAGCGAGCTGCAGCGGTCCACAGGTGGCGCGGTCGAGGCGGGGCGCGGCTTGGCCGCCGCCCGGCGGCGGGCGGTAGCAGCAGCGGCGGCGAGCGGTGCCCTCGGCGGCTGTGGCGGCGGCGGCACGGCGACGGCGGCCGGCCTGGGGGGGGGCGGCGGCGGCGGCCGGCGGGGAGGGGTGCAGCGGGGGCGGGGGCGCGGGAGGAGGCGCGGGCGGAGGCGGGGGCTCGATGTGAGGGCGGGAGGTGCGGGCGGGAGGGGGCAGCGATGATCATGATCATGATGATGATGATGATGATGATGATGATGCTGATGCTGATGCTGATGCTGATGCTGATGCTGATGCTGATGCTGAAGCTGAAGCTGAAGCTGCTGGTTATGGTGGTGGTGGTGGTGGTTGTGATGGTGAAGACGGTGATGGTGATGATGATGAGGATGACGATGCCGATGGTGATGATGATGATGATGATGATGATGATAATGATGATGATGTTGTTGCTGATAATGTTGTTGATGATTATGGTGATGATGAACATGCTGATGATGACGATGGCGATGACGATGATGATGATGATGATGATGATGATGATGGTGGGGACGATGATGATAATGGATATTGTGATGGTGGTGATGATGCTGATGATGATGATGATGGTAATGCTATTGGTGATGGTGATGGTGATGGCGATCGTGATGGTGATGGTGATGACGGCGATGATGGTGGTGACGATGATGATGATGATGACGACAACGATGACGATGATGATCATGGTACTTATGATGATGATGGTAAGTTCGATAATGCTGATGACGAGTATGATGATACTTGTGATGATTGTGCTGACGTTGATGCTGATGATGGTGATGATGCAGATGATGACAAAGACGATGGTGATGACAATTGCGATGCTGTTGATGATGATGATGATGATGATGATGATGATGGGGACGATGATGATGCTGATGATGCTGATGACGATGATCATGATGATGATGATGATGATGATGATGATGCTGATGCTGATGCTGATGCTGATGATGATGCTGATGCTGATGCTGATGCTGATGCTGATGCTGATGCTGAAGCTGAAGCTGAAGCTGCTGGTGATGGTGGTGGTGGTGGTGGTGATGGTGAAGACGGTGATGATGATGAGGATGACGATGCCGATGGTGATGATGATGATGATGATGATGATGATAATGATGATGATGTTGTTGCTGATAATGTTGTTGATGATTATGGTGATGATGAACATGCTGATGATGACGATGGCGATGACGATGATGATGATGATGATGATGATGGTGGGGACGATGATGATAATGGATATTGTGATGGTGGTGATGATGCTGATGATGATGATGGTAATGCTATTGGTGATGGTGATGGTGATGGCGATCGTGATGGTGATGGTGATGACGGCGATGATGGTGGTGACGATGATGATGATGATGATGACGACAACGATGACGATGATGATCATGGTACTTATGATGATGATGGTAAGTTCGATAATGCTGATGACGAGTATGATGATACTTGTGATGATTGTGCTGACGTTGATGCTGATGATGGTGATGATGCAGATGATGACAAAGACGATGATGATGACAATTGCGATGCTGTTGATGATGATGATGATGATGATGATGATGATGATGGGGACGATGATGATGCTGATGATGCTGATGACGATGATCATGATGATGATGATGATGATGATGTCGGTAGTGATAATGATAGTGCTAACGAGTATGATGATGTTGATGATGATGCCGCTGATGCTGATTATGATGTTGCTAATGCTGATTATGATGATGAGGATGATGATGGTTGTGATGCTGTTGATGATGGTGACGATGATGATGATGGTGATGATGATGGTGATGATTATGATGATGATGATGATGATGATGATGATGATGGCGACGATGATAATGTTGGTGATGGTGGTGGTGATGGTGATGGTGATGGTGATGGTGATGATGCTGCTGATCCTTGCGATGATGTTGATGCTGCTGCTGATGATGGTTATGATACTAATGCTGCTGCTGATGATGATGCTGGTGCTGATATGTATGCTGATGCCAATGCTGGTACTGGTTATGATTCGATGATAATGCGGATGCTTATGCTGTTGATGATGATGATAATGAGGGTGATGATCATGGTGGTGGTGATGATGATAAAGATGACGATGATAATGATGATGACGATATCGATGACGAGTTTGACACTGGCGATGACGGTGATGATGCTGCGGCTGATCATGATGATGACGACGACGAGGCTGATGTTGATGGTGTTGGCTCGATGACGATAGTGATGAAGATGACCACGACGATTCTGATGATGATGGCAATGATGATAACGTTGACGAATATGACGATGAAGACGATAAGACTACTAATGATGATGCTGCTGATGATGATTACGGTGGTAATGCTGGTTATGATGATGGTGGTGGTTGTGATGATGATGTTGATGATGATGTTGATGCTGCTGATGATGATGATCCTAATGGCGAGTATGGTGATGGTGACCGCGGTCCCGATGGTGCTGATGCTGGCGTTATTGGTGATGGTTGCGCGTAGAAAGAAGAAGACAATTACTAATAATAATCATGATGTATAGGGAATGCAGACGAGGAGGAAGAGCTACACGAGGAGGAAGAGGAGGAGGAGAGGAAGTGGAGCACGGGGAGGGGAGTCTCCGCTCCCTCCCCTCCTCGATCATGCCCTTCTCCTCCTCTTTCTCCTTCTCTTCTGCCTCATCCTCCCCCCTTCTTTCTCCTCCTCCTCCTCCCCCTCCCCTCCTCCTCCTCCTCCTCCTCCTCCTCCTCCTCCTCCTCCTCCTCCTCCTCCTCCCTCCCCCTCCCCCTCCTCCATCCCCCCTCCCCCTCCTCCTTCTCCTCCTCCTCCTCCTCCTCCTCCTCCTCCTCCTCCTCCTCCTCCTCCTCCTCCTCCTCCTCCTCCCCCTCCTCCTCCGCCTCGTTCCCCCCCCCCTGTTGCGGCCCGAGCCGCGGCAGGGCGTGTCGCCCGCGCTCTCTGAATTTGCCGCCGCGTCTTTCGGGCCGGACGAAAGGGGGGGGATTGGGAAAGGGGGGGTTACGAAATCTGCTGCATGCAGCTGGTCTCGGCCTCACCGAGGGGCCCATTCCTCGATACATAGCCGCCTCCAGCGCCAGGAGGCGCTGGGAAAATCAGCTACGTGAGCTGATTCTCAAACCCCCCCTTTGCTATCCCCCCCTTTCGCCCGACCCGAGTCTTCAGCATCAGGGCTGGACCTAAACGCTGTTTTGCTGGCCCTCGTCTGTGTTCTGTTTTTTCGTGTTGGCAGGGAGGTGCAGGAAAACGGGTAGGGCTAAACGAAAAACAGCACGAACGCAAAACGAAACGCAACGTTTAGGTCCAGCCCTGTTCAGCATCGACTAGCGTCGATTAGCGTCTGGGAGTCGATGAGGCAGCGCCGATCTAGTGCCAGTGAACGTCGGATTTGCGTCGCTTTAGCGTCGATCAGCGTCGATTCGCAAGAGCCGGCAAGATGGTATGGGAGGCTCCCATGAGTTGCCACCGAAGGGTGTGTCGCACGAGGACGTTTTGCCGCCGCCTTCTCTTCGCCCTCCATACCAGCAGAGGACACAAGGAGGTAGATCAGTGTTTTGGCGGCTCGTGGCTGCTCGCCTCTGACAATTTCCGCCAGGCGCGCCCTGCAGCTGGCCCCACTCGCCTTCGTCGCACTCATACCTTCCTGAAGCCCGAGCGCTCCTCCTCTACATCGCCTTCCCCCTCCTCCACCTCCGCATTTGCGCATTTGCTTATGTCTGTGTGTATATGTGTGTGTGCGTGTGTGCGTGTGTGCGTGTGTGTGTGTGTGAGTGTGTGTGTGTATGTGTGTGTGTGTGTGCGTGTGCGTGTGCGTGTGCGTGTGCGTGTGCGTGTGCGTGTGCGTGTGCGTGTGCGTGTGCGTGTGTGTGTGTGTATGTGTGCGCGTCTGTTCCTTTTCATGCTTGACAGAAGCTGGAAGCCCGACACGCACTCGGGCGCCAGCGCAGGGCCCCCCCCCAGAGTCACCCGCAGAATGTCCGATGACGGACCTGGCCTGCGGGCTCGTTTCACGGGGCGGCGGCCTCATTCCATTTCATTTCACTGCGTCTTCTTCGTAGGATGCGCACTGGCGCTGCTCCTATTCACATCCCTCCTCCTCGTCCCCACCCAACTCGCACTCTGCACTGCACAGGATTCCAATTTCTTGCGTTTGCGCCCTGCTGAGGCGTCACAGTCGGGTCTTTCCAGTCGGCCCGTCGGTAACCGTAACAAGGCAACGGCCTTCTGAGCGTGGACGTTTTCGTCGCCGACTCTGCGCAGCACGAGGCGGGAGTTGCACGCAGCGGGCGTCGCGCGCCTGGGTGCGACATGCCGTCTTCGCCTCGACGCCGCGCAAGTTGGCATTGGAGAAAGCGTCTGATCGGGCGAGGGGCAGGATTGCAAAAAAAACCCAGGATTGCAAAAAAAAAACAGGATTGCAAAAAAAAACCAGGATCGCAATCCGGTGTTTTTTTTTGCAATCCTGTTTTTTTTTTTTTTTTTTTTTTTTTGCAATCCTTGGTTTTTTTTTTTGCGAGCCCGCCGAGCGCGCTGCGAGCGGGGCCGCGCGCCAGGCAGCGAAAAGTGCCGTCCAAGCCCGAGCGCCGCGCAGCTTTTCTGTCCGGAGCGGAATTTTTTCCCGCGGGGGCGCGACGCATTGAGCACGAGAGGAGGAGGAGGAGGAGGAGGAGGAGGAGGAGGAGGAGGAGGAGGAGGAGGAGGAGGAGGAGGAGGAGGAGGAGGAGGAGGAGGAGGAGGAGGAGGAGGAGGAGGAGGAGGGGGGGGGGGGAGGAGGAGGAGGAGGAGGAGGAGGAGCACGGAGGTGGCGCGAGTGCAGCTCGCGACGCAGTGTTGCGCAGTATGTTCTCACCGTCGGCAGAACTTCCGTTTCGAAGGCGAACATGTGTGAAGGCATTATCCTGGAAGGCAGCGGTTGCTGCCAGCCAAACTAGGTGCCTTCGATCGGTTCGGTCACGCCCTGCGCAGCAAAGGGCCTGGCGCAGTCGAAGCCGCGCGCTTGCGCGGGAGGGCACGCGCAAACGAGGCGGCGCGGCAAGCGCACCATCGTGCCGGCATGAAACAACTCGGGAGCGGCCAAGAGGGGGGGGATGATTAGGAGGGGCTTGATATCATGGCGGGGGCCATGATATCTCCTCAGATTTCATCGCGCCTCTTCCTATTTCGACGCGTCCCCTGCCCTCCTTCCCTGGGCCGCGCACGTGCCGCCAGCCACGATTTGCGCCCACCCTCTTGGACGCCCCCCCTCTTGGCCGCCCCCGAGCTGCGTGGGAGTGCACGCGCGAACGAGGCAGCGCGGCAAGCGCACCATCGTGTCGGCACGAACAAGACAGGTTCCAACAGCCCAGCGTCCACGACGCCACAGGCCAGACGACCTCGACCTGTCAGCATCCCAATCTCCACGATGTCTTCCCATGCCTAGATGGGAAGCGCTCTGGGCCTCCTCCTAGATGGCGTCCGATTAGATAGAGTCGAAGGATCGTGCCGCATCGCCGACGTGGCTCGATGTGGGGCCCGACTTTCTTCACGTCGACGGCGCCGATGCATCGCCGATGTCGACGACACATTGCCGATGCATCGGCGATGCGGCGCGATCCATCGACCACATCCGCTCGGATCAGAGGCTTCTAGAAAAACAGGCGCTGACAGCCTGGCGGCCGCTATGGTCGCGAACCTACAGGCCAGATGACCACGACCTCTCGATGTCCCACCATCAACCATGTCTTTCCATGTGCGATGAACGCCATCTTGTCTTTGCATGGATTCCGTAGGCAAGCGTGGCTGCATGACTTGAGAGGTGGGCGGCAGTACTTGCTGCTCCTTCCCTTCTCGTTCTCACCGCTCACCGTCCTCCCCCCCTCCCCCTCGAGACCCACTCCTCCCTCCCTCTTCTTTCTTTGGCTACTCCGACTCCTCCCGTTCCCCCCCGACCTCGCCCTCCATCCGTCGCAGCGCGCGGACTCGGATCAGAGGCCGCCAAGCCGCAGTCCTCTGCCAGGGTCGCCAAAGGTTGCTTGAACCTGCGATGCGCCCCTGGGGCGAGGAGGAGAGGCAGCGCACGCCCGTCGCAACACGCAGCGCGACGACCGAACGCGCCTGCCACACTCTTGATGCCACCTGGCGCGAGAGCGGCGAGCCTCTGGGGCCACCCGGCCCGCCTGCAGAAGCGGGGGCGCCCCGCCGTTCCCGCCGTCCCGCCGGGCCAGGCCACCTACTCCTTCGTGCAGGTGGGCACCCGGGAGGCGCCGTCGCCAACGCCTGCTCCCACGCGGCCGACCCGACGGGCAGCCCTGCAGGTGCCCGCCTGCTGCCTCGCCTCTCCTTGTGCGCTTCGGAGGGGTCACGGCGGCAGGGCCTCGGCATCGCTCGGACGTGTGCATTTTTTCTCGGCGAGAACCATCGAGGACCATCCTGGACCATCGAGCAAAACAAAAACACGCATGAAACCGAAACATGCACGGGAAATGGACGTCCGAGCGACGGCAAGTGGCAGCTCGGGAGGCCTTCGCCGGGCTACGGGTTCTTCGAGAACGACAGAGGACGAAAAGCCCGCGCAAGGAGGAGTGGGGCCCTTCAGTTCGTATCCTCCCTCTCCACTCCGAAGACCTCCGATGCCCTCTGGTCAGAAGACTCCTGCAAGAAGCCAGCCACAACTGGGGGAGCTGTGTTCCTTACCAGCCTGGGGGGCCCATCGATTTCGACACCCATCTCGAGAGATCGTCGATGCGACGGGTTCCCCCAGGGGGGTAAGGACCACAGCTCCCCCAGTTATGGCTGGTCGGTGTAAGTTCTGAAGAGCAGAAGATTGTGGAGACCCTCCCAAGGACCCCCTCCAGCCTCACACTCGGGCCGGACGAAAGGGGGGGATTGGGAAAGGGGAGGTTACGAAATTTGCTGCATGCAGCTGGTCTCGGCCCCACCGAGGGGCCCATTCCTCGATACATGGCCGCCTCCGGCGCCGGGAGGCGCCGGGAAAAGTGAGCTGATTCTCTATCACCCCCCTTCGCCCGGCCCGACACACCTCCACATCACCCCTTCCTCGCCTCTCTTCCCCCAATTCGCGGGAGCTGTGATTTGTGTCGATCGTCGTCGTTCTGTTCCCCCCTTCCATCTTTTGATCCTTACCCTCTCTTGCCCTTGCCCGCGTCCTCCTCCGCCTCATCTTCGGCGGCAGCGGTGCGAGGTCATGATCCAGAGTCCCGCTCTAGTCCAAAGAGGCCCTTCACAACTCTGTCTTGTCTCAGGACTTGGGTGGGGCCCTTCTGGAAGCAGAAGCAGCTGCACAAACACAAACCCTCGACGGCCCGCGCCGATTTCTTGGATCTGCGCCGGACCCCCCCGTTTGGCGCGCGGAGAGCGCCAGGGGAGCCCAGCGCCGATCCAAGACATCTCGCGGAGCGCCACCAGTTTTTCTGCCGTTCCTCCTCCTCCTCCTCCGCCTCCGCCTCCGCCTCCTCCTCCTCCTCCTCCTCCTGTTCTTTTTCGAAGGCAGCGCAGGATCGATCCTCGAAGCCTCCATCCTCCTGCCTTCGGCCACGCGCAGAGGGAGGCAGGGGGGAGGAGTGGAAGGCTTCTCAGAAGCACCCCTGCCTCTTGGAAGGAGCGGGCCTGATCTGCAGTCGTGAGGCCAGCGCCTCCTGAGGCAGCCCCCCTCCCCTCCCCCCCCCTCGTGCGCGCTGCCAGAACCTCTTCATCCAACGGTGCCTCATGATCCTCCGAGAGAGGCAGCTTTGGCAAGGGCGCCGCAAGAGCCTCCCCATCCTGAAGGGCTCCATGGATCGATCCTCTGAGGGAAGCAGCTCCGGCGAGGGCCCGCGCGCCACATCGCGGGCCCGCGAGCCTCGGGCGGCCCAGGCGGGGTCGCCGCCGTGGCCTGCTCCTGCCCATCGCCGCCCGAGGCGCTTGAGCCCCTGATCGGCATGCGGGTGCGGGCGCGACGCCCATGGGCCAGCGAGCTGCCCATGGGGGGGCGACAAGCGGGGAGCAGCGAGGGCTGCAGCAGAGGGGCCCCTCCGGGCCCCCCAAGGGGCCCTGTCGGGCCCCACGAGGGGGCCTTCACGGCCCGAGAAGAGCACCTTTTTATTTCGCCCACCCATTAACTTGCGTCCAAGCCCAGCAGCACTTACTGTTCATTCTGACTAGGACTCGCTGTCCGCGCCGCCGCGGACGTTGTCCACTTGAGACAAACGGCCGCCTGACACGCCCGAGATCAGCGGTTTGGAGCGGGCAGAGGAGCTGGACTTGGGAAGGCCTGCCCCCTCTCACTTCCCCTTGGGCTCGCCGCCGATTGGGGAGCGAAGAAGAGCGGATAATGCTCCACAGGTGACCAGTTTCTCTGCCTGCCCCCTGACCCGCCCAATTCCGGAAGGGTTCCCGAAGGGTTTTTCGACAGAGGACCATCTTTTCACGATGGTGATGATGCTCAAGGAGAAGGCAGACGGTCACCTTTCTTCCGGTGGTACGCAGCGCTGGACTTCCAGAAAAATGCTTCCGACCCCCGTGGAACACCAATATTTATGTAATATATGTTTCTTTCAAGATGTACATGTTGGCTACATCAGATTATTACAACGGTGTATGCTAACCAACAGGCGCAAGTGTTTTCAGACGCTCGCAGTCGCTTGTTTGATATATCGCGTGGGACGAAGGAGATCCCCTGAGCCCGTTGTTTTTTTTCAACGCGTTGTTGGAAGATATCATGAGACGTGTCGAAATGGTGTGGCAAGCCAAGCGATATGGTATTCAATGGGGTTACACATGGGAGTGGAGCATGAGTAATTCACGTTTCGCCGATGATGTTCTTTTTGCCACCAACACGCTGCATCATATCAAGCATTTGTTGTCGGATGTACACGATCAAGCTGGTGCGACGAATGAACAGAAAGGAGGACACCCATATCAGACGAATCTATTCACCAATGCGGCGGAGAAGACTTGACGGATGACACCCACGCACGTGGACATCCACGACATGCACATCGAGATCTTGAGCTCCGACAAGACTTCTGGGGAGACTTCTGGGGAGCGGGGCCTGCGCGCAGAACGAGATCGAGCACCATATTCCGCAATGTTAGAAAACATTCATTCACGGCGCACAAATCGGAACTGACATGCAAGCGGCACGCTATGGCCAGTCGCCTTCGTTTTTTCGACAGCGTCGTTTCCCCAGTGGCGATGTACGGAGCTTCAACTCAACGTAAGATGCCACGCGTGACCCTGGGATCAGGCAGACAGCCGGTGGAAGCGCAGGCGGGCCTCGAGTCGGCGAGCACATTTGCGACAGCCTCCAACAGCGACGGCGTGTACGAGCAAGAGGTGGTTGAATCCTGGGTTGAGTGGGTTATCAGAACAACGAGACAAATCGAGCCAATCGAAGGACATGCACATTCCTACAGTATTGAAGACTGGTGCCTGCTGCGGCGAGGACGGGCGCGGAGATCAGCTCACCGGGTCACCGCGCTATCTTCTGGGAAATGGCGCGCTATTCTGTGGGGTGCCACCAGGGACAGACGTGCAAATACCAGGCTCCCGGATCGTCCGCACAAGATGTGGGCTGACGATATTTGCGCCTACTTACAACTGCAAGGGTATGATTGGAGACATGACAAGTGGTTTATTTTGCCTTTCTTGGCTGAGCAGTGGTCGGTGCTTGAAGACGGCTTCCTCGACGCCCCAATGCGAGCGCTACGGCGCTGCGCGCCCATTCCCGTAGTCGGGGCAGCCCTGCCGAGGCGGCGCCCTCTTCTTTCTCCTCCCCCAGACGCGCCTGAGATCAGCGGCGCCCCTTGCTTCATTGGGAACGTCGGGCGGGGGCGGGCTCAGAGGTTCGAGCTTCGAGCTTCGGGGCGTGGCTTTCCCTTTCCCCTTAAATGATGTTCTTGGGGCGCTCTTGCGGCCGCGGCTGGGCCCGCCCCGGAGTTCTGGTCAGAAAGTGCGAACGAAGTCCAGGGATCGATTTTTGACCACGGGGGGGCAGGCAGAAAAGCTGGGCTCTTTCGAAACACAACCCGCTCTTCCCAAGTCAGGCGGGCGCAAACGTGGACCAAGGGGGCGCGGATTAGCGACGGGCCCCGCGCCCGTGGAGAATCGCGTATTTCCGCCGCCGAACAAGGCGGCACTGGTCGCGTTTCGGAACGGGCACCTCCCCCGATCCATGGAGTTGGTGACCGCGCGCCAATTCCATGGACCGCCAATCCATGTTTTCGCGCCCCCGACTCATCTCGCCCCCCGCGCTCGGCGGCGAGCCCAGTGGTAAGTTGAGAGGGGGCAGACCTCCTCAGAGGGCGGCGAGCACGTGGCTGGTCAGCCCTCTCGGGCCTTCGAGGCCGTCTTCGTCTTCGCAGAAGGTTTGGGGATTTCCTTAAGCGCCGGGGGCCCTCTGAGCTTTCTGAGAAGGCCTGCCCCCCCTGCGTTCCCCCCTGGGCTTGCCGGCGACGCGACTATTCCTTACCTAGGCTCTGCCTAGAAGGGTTTTCGCATTCTTTCTTACAGGGGCCGGGCAGTGCCAGCCGCCCTGGGCGGTTCTCCCAGTGTCCGCCCCGCGGCCCCCCCAGTCCCCTGGGAGCTTTAGCTTTAGCTTCAGCTTCAGCTTTAGCTTTAACTTAGCTTTAGCTTCAGCTTAACTTTAGCTTAGCTTTCGCTTGGCTTCAGCTCAGCTGTTGGTCAGTTTTAGCTGAACTTTATTTTAGCTTCAGCTCAGCTTTAGCTTAGCTTTAGCTTGGCTTTAGCTTCATCTTTAGCTTAGCTCTAGCTTAACTTTAGCTTAGCTTCAGCTTAGCTTTAACTTGGATTTACCTTAGCTTTATCTTAGCTTTACCATAGCTTTAGCTTAGCTCCAGCCTAGCTGTATCATAGCCTAGCTTAGCTTTAGCTTAGCTCTAGCTTCGCTTGAGCTGAGCTCTAACTTCGCTTGAGCTTAGCTTTAGCTTAGCTTCAGCTCATGTGTAGCTTCGCTTTAGCTTAGCTGCAGTTTAGCTTTAGCTTAGCTTTACTGTTACTACTAATGCTGCTTTCCCTAGGGGGGGGGGGGGGGGGGGGGGCAATTCCTAGGTAGGGTCGCACTGGGATAATATAAATATATATATATATATATATATATATGTATGCAGAAACATACACACATATTCGACCTGGAGCTTTATCAGTGTGTTCGTCGGACAGTAGCTCGCTCTGGCTCGAGCGTTGCATGGCGGTCCAGCAGCCCGCGCGCCCCCGTCTCGGCGCCGGCCCCATTTTCCTCGCGGCGGCGGCCGCTGGCGCAGGGCCGTGGTCGCATCTCTTCGAGGGCCAGGACTGGCCCCACTGGCGCAACTGGCAGTGGCCGGTGGCGCTTCCAGAGCCCGTGGTGGGCCTCGACGACCTCGGGCACGAATTCGGGCGCCCGCTCTGCAGGCGCGAGCTCTCCGAGCTGGAGGGCCCGCCCCGCTGGCGCGACCTGGTCTGGGTGGACCGGGTCTTCGGCTTGCTGGCCAGGCCCGGTTCGGCAAAGTGCTCGTGGGCTGCGCGCGCACGCGCCGGGCTTCGCGACGGTCGGCCCCGTCGCTTGATCACTGCGAGAACAAGGGCCCCTTGCGCGCTGGGCTCGGGCCCGGCAGCAGGAGCGCCTTCGGCTGTCTGGAAGCCGCGTCGCGGTGGTGTCCGGGTTTTTCCTGGTGCTCAGCGATAGCTGCTGCAGCAGCCGATCTTCGCGGGCTGAATATCGCCGAGCCCCAGATAGCCGCGCATCTCGAGGGCGACCCGATCGTGAATTGGCACGCCCGCATCTTGCTCGAAAAGCTCAGCGATCAGGAGCGGCGGTCGGCGGCTACCCCCGACGTCCGGGGACGGCCAGGTAATCGACTTAGCTCAGCACCGTGCGCTGCCAATCCCGCGAGGGGCCCCAGCCCCGCCCCGTCTCAGGAACAACCGCAACCACCTCGGCAACGCGACGGAGGAAATGCTGGCTGGCTGGCACCGAGCGGCACGCCAGCGAGCCGCGGTCTTGGGCGGGGTGGCGGCGGTCGCGGCAGGCGCGGCCGAGGCCTAGTGGCGCTGCGTCGACGGACGGGCAGTTCGGGGAGGTGGTCGAGGACGCGCCGCTGGCCAACCCTCTGGGCTTCCAGACCCGCGGCGCGAAGGGGGTGGTGGAGGCCCCCGGCGACTTCGGCGAAAGGGCGCAGAGGTTCACCGAGCGCGTCTCCCGGACGGGCCATCCCGCCTGGCGCAGCGAGATGCGGGATGGCCCAGGCCGGCACCCCCGCATCCTCCCATTCGAGCGGGGCGCCTCCAGCGCCGCATCCAGCTCTTGCGCGACGCGACGTCCGTGATGACACCCTTCAACCCCGCGCGGGCGCTGGGCGACCAGGCCGGTCCGCGGGCCGTCGACGTCCGAGGGGCAATCCCGCGCTGCCAACGTGACTTCTGCCTGGCGAGCTCTGGCCTCTCGCCAGCGCATCCCGTGGCCCGCAAGCGCAGAGGCCTGCCGATGGCGATCCACCACCTCGTTGCCTACGACCAGGTGAACGGTCTCCTATGCGCTGCCGCCGAGGCCGCCAGTCGCCTCATCCTCCAGATGCACGCTGCGGTCGAGAGGAATGTCATGGCGCTCGACTTCACAGGCGCGACGGTCATGGCGCGCAGCAGACTGTCCACGGGCGGCGGCGCGATGGCGGGCGATTTTGCCAAGTGGACCGCGGAGGAGCAGAAGGCGGAGGTCTTCGCGATGAGGCAGCGCCACCTCTACGCCGAGGAGGTCGGCCAAGCCTCGAAAGGCCCGCCGCCCGCGCGGGGCGGGCAGGGCATGCGATCGTCGATCGCTGCTGGCAGGAGGAGGCCGCCCCTTCGCGCCGGACGGGGTGCCTCTTGTCATGCCCGCGCCCAGTGGTCAGCCAGGCCCTGGCGCGGCTCTCCTTCCTCTGCGTCTTCGGCAACGAGGCGAAGGGGGGCCTCGAGGATTGCCGCGACATCTCCGCCGGCGGCTCGCGGCACAGGACGAGCTCGAGAACTTGGTGGCGAGCGCCGCCTCAGCGCTCAGCTCCCCGCGCGCGACCGCGGGCTCTGGGCGCTCGTCCGTTGAACCGCCCAACCGCCGCTAGCCCGGCGAGCCGGCCTCCGGCTCAAACGACGCGGTCCTCGGCGAAGTCGGCTGCGCTCTCAGCGCCTGCCCCCCTCGGCCTGACGAACGACAGCCATGCCCTGATGGGGCCTTGCGCGAGCTTCTCAAGTGCAAGAACATCTACGACACCGACCGCGACGCGACGGTGCATCTTTCAGGAATCCCCAGGAAGCTGCGCGGGGTGCATGCCACTTGTGGCAGGGTGCGCGGCACGCCGCATGTACTATCCATGCGGTAAGCTTGAGCTCGAAATGGCCGCGGACTCTCATGGGCCGTCTTGGGGCTTCCTGATGCCGTTGCTGGAGCCCTCTGTGGGCATTTTGGGGCGTCTCGGGCCGACTTTTGGCGCCTCTTGGGCCGTCTCGGAGCATCGGGGGCCCGAGAGGGCGAAAACCTTACGCGCCACCAAGAGTTGTAGATACACGAATGCGTTGGTCGTGGTCGTCGTCGTTCTTGTCGTCGGTCCGTCGTCATCGCCATCGACGTCGTCGTCGTTCCCGTTGGTGTCTTCGTCCTCGTTCTCGTCTCCGTTCTCGACTCCGTCGTCGTCGTCCTCGCTCGTTGTCGCCCTCGCCTGGACTGGCAGAACCACCGCTCGTAAGTGCAGGTCTCTCTGGATCCCTCCAGAGTCTCCGGGGAACCGCCAGAGCTCCACAATAATTCCTCCAGGGTCCCCCAGGAAACCTTTCAGGGTCCTTCACGAATCCATCATGAATCCGTTAAGAATAAAAGACACGTCCGTTTGGAATCTTTCGGGGGCACAGGAATTATCCGAAACCTTCAAACATCCTCATGGTTTTTCAAGAATCGTGAAGAGTTCTTCCGGAATCCAAGAGTCCTTCAGGCATCTGCTAGACTGTTTCAAGAATGTCCACATAATCTTTAGGAATTTTGAGGGATCCGCAAGAGTCCTTCTGGAATCCTTTCAGATTTGGGAATCTTCCGGGATCCGCAAGGGCCCATCCGGAAGCTTTCCCAGACACCCGCAACAGTCTCTCGGATTTTTTCCCCGGGTGTTTCAGGAATCCTTCCAGAGTCCATCAGGGATCAGTTTGGGGATTCGATGAGAATTCGTCAGGAATCCTTCAGGAAACCTGCCCGGATTTGGAGGAGACCTTCAGACATCCTTAAGAATCTGTTCTAGAAATGTTCCGGAATTTTCAACAGTCCCTCAGGCATCCTCAAGGGTCCTGTCGAAATCTTCAGGATATGATTCCCCAGGACATACATGCATGATATATTTCCCAAGTCTTCAAGAATCGTTATGAAAGCTTGAAGAATTCCCCAGGAGTCCTCCGGAACCTTTTCTTCAGAAACCCGGATAATATTGCAAGGATCCTCAAGATATTTCCGGAATTCTCCAGCATCCTTCGGGGATCTTCACGGGTCTGTCACGAATCTGTGAGGAATTCCCAGAAAGGTCTTAAGTAGATTTGCGAGAATTCCTCATACTGCGTTGAGGAAGGAGCGGTCCAACATCAGTCAGGGATCTCCAAGAATCTTCCGTGAATCTCCTAGAATCTTTCCGGAACCCCCAGGAATCTTTCAGGAATCGTCCAGGGTCTTCCTAGACGCGCAAGTTTCCCGCCGAAAATTCCAGAAGTCCCACAGGAGTCCTCCAGGTGCTGGGAAGCTGAAGCAAGCTTCGCTGGTTGAAATCTGGCTTTCGCCTTATATGGTAACACCAGGAATGCTGCACCTTGCCATCAGTCCGTTATCAGTGGTTGTAATATGACCGAAGTGGTTCGTGAACGGTCCGAAGTGGTTTGCGTCGGTCTTCTCCCCCCCCTCTCATTTCCATCTCCCCTTTGCCCCCCTCCCTCAGGAACAGGAGGGGAAGGGCACCGACGACCTCCGCGATCCCCCGGGAGCCCTCGAGAAATTTCCAGGACTTCCAGAAAGCGTTTGAAAAAACGACAAGAGAACTGTGCGCAACTTCGAGCAAGTTCGCGCTGTGCCGACGCGTCGGCGACCCCGGTGCGGGCGTTCAGCGTTGCACGCCCCCAGCTGCCCAGCATCGGCCACCGTGGAGCGAGCCGGCGATCGAGCAGCCGCCGGCCGTTCCAGGTCGAACGCCCCCCGGTGGTGTCCGGAACCAACGCCGCGGCCTGCACGACACGAATCCGCGGCAGAAGATCCTCGGCAACGCTGACGACGACGACGGCGGCGCGGCAGCCAGGCGGAGCGTGGGCGCGGGGTCGTCCGCTTCCTGCGGGAGCTCGCCAAGGCGGCCGATGGCCGTTGGCCGCCGCCGCCGCCCAGCGCCGCTGGCCGCCGCCGCTGGCCGTCGCTCGCCGCCGCCGCTGGCCATTGCTCGTCGTCGTCGTCGTCGTCGTCGTCGCTGTCGTCGTCGCTGTCGTCGTCGTCGTCGCTGTCGTCGTCGTCGTCGTCGTCGTGGTCGCTGTCGTCTTCGTCGTCTTCGTCGTTGTCTTTGTCGTCGCTGTCGTCGTCGTCGTCGTGGTCGTCGGGCGTCTGGCCATGTTCGTCGCGTGCTGGCCATCGAAAGACGGCATGGGACAGACCCCTATAGAGACGTCAATCAGACCTTCCTTGAGGGGCGCGTGCGGTCAGGAGGGGGAAGAGGTCAGCGGCAACGTTAGGAGGGAATAGGCCCATGGGGGGGGATGCATTGACCCCCAATCGCCCATTCATCGCCGACAGGCGCCCGATAGCCCCTCCCCGCCCAGGACCGTGATGTTTCCTCTCGGGAGCATGTCGCCCATCGATCGACGATGCGTCGCCGACTCAAGCTCGATGCTTCTCCCCCTGAGCTGGTCCCCCCCCCTCTCACTCCTTCTCAAGAGGGAGAGACTTCCTTCTGATTTCGGCCTTGGAGGCACCGCTTTTGTGGGCCTGGGGCCGCCAGACATCGACCGCGGGATGGATCACGGACGGATGGACCGCGGAAGTCATCCGTAGGTTTGTTTCGACAGGGTTTGGGGGCGGAGGATTGTCGAGGATCGGGGTTATTTTTGTTTTGTACCACGTTTCTGGGCCCGAGGAGGCTCCCCGAGGCTTTCAGGGTATGGACCTCCCTGCACCACCGCGGGGTCCTCCGGTCCTCCGCAGACGACTCGAGATGCGGAAGAAAACGTCCGTCGTCGAAGTCGTCGTTCACGTCTTCTTGAGGGCTCCGGCACAGCAGCAAGTAAGGCTTCATGTGGCTGGGACGGGATTGGAGCTGCCCGTCAGTTCTGCCTCTCCTCTCTTGCCCTCCTCCTGTGCCCGCGCAGGCCCGAGGCTTTCCGGCCCGGGCGCCCGGCGAGCTCCAGGGCGGATACTCTCGGAGACTTCGAAAACCATTTGCAGAGCTGGTGTAGAATCGGGCCGGACGAAAGGGGGGGATTGGGAAAGGGGGGGTTATGAAATCTGCTGCATGCAGTTGGTCTCGGCCCCGACGAGGGGCCCATTCCTCGATACCTAGCCGCCTCCGGCGCCGGGAGGCGCCGGGGAAATCAGCTACGCGAGCTGATTCTCAACCCCCCCCTTTGCTATCCCCTCCTCCTCCTCCTCCTCCTCATCCTTCTCCTCCTCCTCCTCCCCCTCCTCCTCCTCCTCCTCCTCCTCCTCCTCCTCCTCCTCCTCCTCCCCCTCCTCCTTCCCCTCCTCCTCCTCCTCCTCCTCCTTTCGCCCGACCCGATAGAAGCTCGTCCACGGCCGTCGGCGGCGGCGGCGGCTCCCCGCGCCGCAGGAGCAGCACTCCGCCGCGCTGGCCCAGCTCGCGGGCCGCGTCGGCGCCGTGGCACAGTTCGGCGCGTCGGCGGCCGCCGTCGCCGACCCCTTCGGGAAGATCCGAGGCCTCTCCGCCGCCGAAGCATCTCGCTCGGACGTGTGCGTTTTTCCTTCGGCGAGGGCCATCGAGGAGCATCCTTGATGCAAGGGCTCCCCCGAGGGCGCGAAGTTATTCGCGCTTCGCGCTTCGCGGTCCTCGTTTCTCCTCCCCCTCCTCCTCGTCCTCCTCTTCTCCCTTTGGGGGGGCGGCGCGAGGGCGCGAAGTTCTTCGCGCTTCGCGCTTCGCGCAGCGCGAAGCGCGAAGTTGGGAGCCCTAGATTTTTCCTTCGGCGAGGACCCTCGAGGAGCATCCTTGAGGATTTGGCGAAAAAGCCACGCACGAAACCGAAGAAAAAAAACACAGGGAGTGGGCGTCCGAGCGATGGCTGGGGGGGGGGCCTCGGGCCCCGGGCGCCGCAGCGCCGAGATATGCCGGCCGGGGTTTTTGAAGGTGGCCCACAGGGCTTCGCCGAGTGCTCCCCCCGTCGCCTCGTCTCCCCCAAGCCTCTTCCTCCTCCTCCCGCTCCTCCTCCTCCTCCTCCTCCTCCTCCCGCTCCTCCTCCTCCTCCTCCTCCTCCTCCTCCTCCTCCTCCTCCTCCTCCCTCCTCCTCTCCTCCTCCTCCTCCTCCCCTCCTCCTCCTCCTCCTCCTCCTCCTCCTCCTCCTCCTCCTCCTCCCTCCTCCTCCTCCCCCCTCCCCCTCCTCCTCCGCCTCCTCCTCCGCCTCCTCCTCCTCGCCGGCCAAGAGGGGGGCGTCCAAGAAAGGGGCGTTGGACTCCTCCTCCTCCTCCTCCTCCTCCTCCTCCTCCTCCTGCTCCTCCTCCGCCTGCTCCTCCTCCTTCTCATCCTCATCCTGCTCCTCCTCTCTCGGCTCGGCCTTCGAGGGCTTCCTCCTCGCCATGGCTGGGTCCGCCTCGGGAAATATTGTTCAAAGCCCACCCCCAGGCAAGTCCGGGGGTTTGTTTGCAAGGGATGTGATGAGGACCTGGAGCCCCGACGGGAGGCAAGTTCTCGAAGAACACGCGAGGATCTTTTGGCTTCTTTGCGTGCTGTGTCTCACGTCAGCGACGTCCTGGGCGTACGAAGTCCATGGGATCCTTTTGACCAACGAATTCCCAATGTATAGAACCTTCCAGGGGGAGGAGGATCTAAAGCTCCCACGCCATCAGACAACATAGCCGAGGTCTTTTGTCACTTCTCGGCCTCTCGATTGCCGCCTATAGCCCATGGCGCCATCTGGGAACGACTCGGGATGCAAAGCTGATTCTGAGGAAGGCGCGGGGCTTGCCAGGATCGAGATTCGAGCATGGCGGATGGAGGCTTTGTGGTTTCTCCAGCGTTTTCGGGGGCCCCCTCTAGCTTCCTCATCGCAACGCTGAGGCCCGCTTGAGGCTCTCGGGTCGAAGCTCAGACCAGAGCAGGTCCCGGGGGGCGGCCTGCCCGGGAGAAGGGGCGGAGGACCGTCGGGGGGAGGAAAGATGGGGGTGATGACTTGGGGGGGGGATCTCATGACGGGGGGCCATGATGTGTCCCCAGATTTCATGGCGCCTCTTTTTGTTTCAATACGTCCCTGGCCCCCCCCCCTGGGCCGCGCACATGCCGCCGGCCATGATTTGCACCCCTTTCTTGGACGCCCCCCTCTTGGCCGGCGAGGAGGAGGAGGCGGAGGAGGAGGCGGAGGAGGAGGAGGGGTAGGGGGATGGGGGAGGAGGAGGAGGAGGAGGAGGAGGAGGAGGAGGAGGAGGAGGATAGCCATTTTTTCGCATTTACAAATTCCACCTGCCTACTTCCATTTGGGTGGTGAGACCCACACAGGCAACATGAAATCATCAAATCCGACCCTGAGGAGGCGGACACCCGATCTCTCTCCTCGCATAATTATTGAGGGCGTAACCTCCTGCTCGATGACGGTCCTTCGATTCCCCGAGCAACCTCGAGGCGCGGTCCTCGCCCGAACGGTCGGGGTGGGTGGACCCCTTCTCCCCCCCAGCGAACGACGACATCAGACGTCGTCCTCTATAAGCACGCTGTTGCGACGCCGAGGCCACTTCTTCCAGACTGATTACAGCGGCAACTCGCTGCGTCGTCGCAGTGTGGCATGGTTCGACAGCCACTGGCAGCAGCGACGACGTGGCCAGCGTCGAGCCTAGGACGCATAGAGAGCAGGGAAGGAGCATCTGCGAGCTTGAGCTCCTCCCTCGGGCGCAGGCCGCTTTGGACTCCATGAAGTTTCGCTCGGGTATGACGAGACGGGGACCTGGACATCGACTCGTGGACACTTTCTTGAAGGCCGTTTGGCGCAGGAACGTTCCGCAACGCAAACGAACAAAAAACTTTGACCCATCCGACACGCAGAAATGGCTGGGTTGTCATCCGGCCTCCCAGTCGCATCTGGGCCAATTTGTCTGAACCCAGGGCACCGACCAGGGAGACATTTCTCCGCAAATCTGGGCCCCCCGCGGTACACGTGGCACCCCAAAAATTCTCGTGAACAGTCCACCCATAGGACTTCCCGAAAGTAACCTGACGATCAACATTCCGCCCAGGCAAGACGAGCGGCGCGTGTGTCAAATCAAGTATTGACCACTGTGGGGGGAGAGCGGCCGCTAACCGACGCGCAACCTTCGACAGCTCGATCACGCGAGCGGCTTTCAACCTCGGGCGCAGGACGCGGGCGGATAGCACCAACCTCGGCCGCGAGGTCGGCCATTTCATTCTCCAGCCTGCAAATTCTGTCGTCGGAAAATGTATTCCTCATAGAGGCCCGAGTGCGCCTTATCTTTAAAGGAATCCTTGGGTATGCCGCACTTGTTCGCGTCTTGAAATATGCCGGCGTATTTGGTTGTTTTTTGTTTTTTATATAAAATAATCATAATAATATTAATAATAATATTATTTGTTGGAAAAAAAAGTTGGCGCTCAAATGGTGGCAGCGAGAAGTGCTTCGGTTCTTTCAGGATCACCAACTATCTGCAGACATGATTGGCCGAGCGATCACAGATCTGCAGATGGGGCAGATTGAGGCATGGGCGCATGCACAGGGCCATATATAAAAGAGTGAGCAACGCCCCGTCCTCTGCGAGGCGGCACGGCCCGCATCCAGCCCGACTCAAGTCGGTGATGAGGCGTTTGAAACAAGACCCGTCGAAGTGGGCCGTGCCAGCCAGGTGTCCGTTTTCCCTTTCAGGCCAATCGCCGGATCTGGTCGCGCTCGCGCCGTCGGTAGGCGGTCTCGGCCAGACTGCTTCGGGGCGCCCAGCGACTCCCCGTTCGAAAAGAAGCCGATCGCCAACGCGCAGATCGCCCAGTTCATCGAAGCGCACCGACGCAGAGACGAGTTCATTTTTACGCCCCTGGCACGCTTTGCATGCCCAATGCCTGCGGTGGACGGCGCCCCTCCCCGGCCCGCGCAGCATGCAGATGAGGGCCTGGCCAGAGACTCAGCGCCCCAGACTGGCGGCGCGGCTGGGCGCCCAAACTCCATCGCGCACGACGTTCCCGATTCGTCCGCGGCCAGGGGCGGGGAACCGCGGACTGCGGCCTGCGCTCGCGCCGCATCCAGGCCCCCCCGCCCCGTCGCTCATTCCCGGCGAGACTTTGCTCCGACATCGCAGCGCGCTGCCGGCGCAACAGGCCCCCGCGGAAAAAATCGATTTCATCTTTGCCCCCGAGAGTAGCAGAGAAAGGCGCGGGCCGCCCAGAACGCGCACCCGACAGAATATGGGCCGACACGGGGCCCGCAATCTGAGTCCAACGAGGTGGCCCGCGGGCCCCAAGTTCGGAGACGAGGCCCCGCGAGGCGCGGGGCTCCGTAAGGGGGCAGGATGGAATGCGGAGCGGCGCTGTTCAACCCAGACTTTCTTGCCCCACCGCATGACGGGCGCAGCGGCTTCACGCCGGCGCGGGTCGCGCTCCATGGCCGGGGCGCAAGAGGGCGAACGATTGACATTGTTCGGTCTCACGCAACGGCCTGCTGCAATCCTCGCGCTGCGAAGCTCGGGGACGGCAGCGCCGCGGGCGTCGTCTCCGGCAGTGGGGCCAGGCAGAGGGCTGGCAGCGAGCGGGCGCTTGGCTGAGCGGCGCAATAATTTTCCCGACGCGAAATGATGCTCATTTTTCCCTTGGACCTTAATCCGGCCATTGCGCTTGGCACCCCTGCGCCCGCGCCCGCAGGTCCTTCCCGCGGCGCCGTCGACGCCCGGGCCGACGGCGGTAGCCGCGCCGCCCTGGCCAGAGCCAATTTGCCGAGCCAGCCCTAGAGAACGCGCCCTGTCTTCGGGCAGCTGGAGAGGGCGGTCGCAACCTTGGGGGAAATGCGGCACTCGGAGTCAACGACGGCCGCGCGATGCACATCAACCGCCCCTTGCTTCAATGCGCCCACAACTTCGCGACTCTCACTTCGAGTCGAGCGGCCGATATCGTCGACGCCGAAATCGAGCGACGCGCGAGTGGAAGCCGACATGCGAGGAATTTCGGACAGAGTGCATCCTGAGAAAACAAGATATCCGCATTGTGCCGGATATTCGAAGCTCAGAAGCCTGCAGCGCGAATGACCCGCATGGCTTTGCGCGCGCCGATGAACAACTGGGCGGCGACCAGGGGGGCATCCGGCGGGGCAGCGCTCATTGAGGTCATCCAGATCATTCAACTCATTGCACTTGCGCAGACCCCGGAAATCCGCAACAGCGCGGCGTTCCTCGCGGACCGACTGTTCACTCCTGACCGACTGACGCCAGACACCCGAAGCAGTCTTGAAACATTATGTCACGACGAAGCGGCGGCGGTGCCCCTCTCCCCAGGTCAGTGCGCACGACCGGCGCAGCTTGCCCCGCGCGCGGCAGGGGCCCGCCGAGGCCCCGGCGCGCCCAGGACCCCTCATGGGCCCGGAGAGCATAGCCAGCGCGACGAGACGGATCTACAGGGGCAAAGAAAGAGGACGCGATCTCACACGCAGCCAAGATACCACCAAACACCACCAGATCATTGTCCGACATGCAAGTGACATGCCGCCTGTGCAACCCATTCACCGACGCAGCCGGCCCATTGCTATACTCTTAATGGGCCCGCCAGATTCTGTCAGGAGTGATGCGAGCCATCTGCTGACGAGGAGTGATATCATTGGCAGCGTCGCTACCTCGAGCCGAAGTGTTAGCCGGCCAAAAAGTTAGCGAAACTGTTCTTTTCGGTCTCTGCAAGGCAAGCGGGTCGGCCGCCGCCTGGCCTCGCGCGAACAACGCGGGCAACGGGGCCCGCGTTTCTTCCGGCATAGACCACGCGCGAGCAGACCTGTTCCTGGTCCAGATGTGTCCAAAGCAATTCCCTCCAAGATTTCTCGCCAGCGGCTCCGGCGTCGATCGGCGCCGACTCGGCCGTGTTAGTGAGGGCGGAGAGCAGGGTATCAGCCGCCCCCGACAAAGGCGCGGCTTGCCCGACAAGACGCCGCGCAGCATCGAGGACTTGCGAGCGGGGCCCCGCGGCAGATGTCGCGGAGAGGAAAGAGCAAGGACAGTTGATGGCCTCGGCCCGGTCGCGCAGGTCGTCGGATGCTCGGCGCGCCAGCGCCAGCCGCTGGAGGCGAAGAGCTCGAGGGGGCCGACAGACCGCACGCAGCCAAGGGTCGCGGGTTGGCCTCCTATTTCTCTGATGCGCGTGAAAAAAAAGTCTCGGGGATCTCGCGATTGCGCCCCCTCTTGGGCGCGGGGTGCCGCGGGCCCGCCAGCCCGCGCTCCGCCTTGTTCGCCTGCGCCTGGTGCAGCTTAGCCGGGGCCCCTCAGGCCTCGCGCGACCCCGCCCTTGCGGCCCCAAGGGCCGCGTCCAACGACCTAGCTTGTTCCGACCAGTCGGGGGGGGGGCAGGGGGCAGGGCCCGCGGGCGCGGCGGCAGGGGGCGGGGGGCTTGCGAACAGCCGAGACACGAAGTTCATGCAGCAGTGGATGGGACGAGATCCTGACAGGGGCGCGGGGGGAGCGGTCGACGCGTCGATCCAGCCTGAGACTCTCAATCAATCTCTTTGGACAGCCCACTGAGGACAATGACGCGTGAGTAAATGAGTTGCGCGACCATCCTGAGTGGTGGGCCAACGCGTGGCAGAGCTATTGGAAACCAACTGCCCATCATGTTCTTCGACGAACGTCGACTGGCCAAGACGTGGTGGACCTGCGTTGAAGCGCCCGCCCGCGACGCGGGCGAAGACGCGCAACCGCTTTCATGGAATGCGAGCTGGCTGTGATCCGCAAGGCCCTGACAGTCATGAAGGTAACAGCTGGATCGTAGATCGGGCCCTGGCCTCCGAGGTTCACGAATGTTCCGATGGCCCGGTGGGCCGCCGGCTCTGGCCCGCCACGGGGGCTCGCCGCGCGCCGCCGCCGCCCCACCCGGGGGGGCCGGGCAGCGGAGCGCCGATGCGGAATGGCGTGAGCCGAGGTGGTGAGCGGTCAGGTTTGGGCCGATTTCCAAGCCGCGCAGCGGCCCGTCGCCGCCCGCGCCGCCAGAGACCGGCCATCAGGACGCACCGCGGGTTCAGCGATTTCAGAGCTGGCCGATTTCAACCGCGAGCTGGGAGTTGCGGCGGGAACCGCCGAACTATCGCCAGCGCGCGCGGGAACTGCACTTCTCGCGCATGGCGTAGCCTGGCGGAAGATGCATTGAAAGTCCCCCCAGAAGTTGCATCGGGCAGAATGACGGAGACGTTCCCTCGCTGCTTGCGTTGCCAGAGTTACAAGGGCGCCTTCGGAAATGTCAAACGCGATGTAGTTGGCTCCCCCCTGCCGATGCACTCGCTTGGACCTGGCAGGGGGGGCGCTTGTTATTTCCGTTCCTAGAGTCAGGCTGCGCGGGGGCGAGCGTCGCCGGTGGAGGCGTCGCCCAGGTCAGCGCTGGCACCGTGCTCAGGAACGGGCCGAGACTGAGCGCCCCCAGCGGCAGCCTTCCCCCCCCCCCCGACGGGCGCGAGTCTGCGGCTCGCCGCAGGCTGAAGCACTTGTTTGCGGCGCTCCAGCTCCCGCCTCGCAGCAAGAGCCTCAGCGCCTCCTGCGGCGCGCGTGCCCAAGCCTCTCGATGTCGCCCGCGCGCGCCTGCTTCAGCTGCGTGACCTCGTCGGCGGCGCCCTCGAGCGGGGGGGCCGCCGCCTCGTGGGGCTCGCAGTTCAGCTCGGCGCGGCGGACCTCCAGCTCGCGAGAATATTCCTCGGCAGCCTCGCAAACGCCCGCGCCGATAGCGAGCGGACCGCGCGCGTCGACGATGTCGACAGCGTTGGCAAGGCCAGAAGCGGCGTCCCCGATGTCGAGCTTGGAATGCGCGGCGGCGGAGGCTGGGGCCGAAATCTGCGGCGCGCGGTCACTGGCCAGCTCCGCCGCCGCCTTTGCGCGCGCCCCGTCGGCCTTGTCGAGCTCGTGTTCCTCCGAGGGTGCGATCTCCAACTGGGCGCTGAGCTGCCCTTGCGCCGCTTCCAACTTCGAGGCCTCGCGCGACAACGTGCGCCTCAGCTGCTGAGCGCGCCGTTAATGTTTGAAGCCCTCGTCTGAACAGGCGCGGGAGGGGCCTCGGGAGTTTGCGACTTGTTGAGCTCTCAGCTGCCAGCGCTGCGCGCCCGCCTGGACGCCCGCGCGCTCGTGGGAAGCCATCGCAGCGCGGGGCCGCTCCGCGGGCGCGCCGCCGCCCGCGCCGGGCGCCGCAGTTTGCCGGGCGCGCGGGGGCCCAGGGCGACGAGGGAGAGAAGGAGCGGCTGGCCGTTCCCTCTGGTATTAAGCATCAGCAGCGGAGAGCCGCGGCGCTTGCAGTTCGCCCGGCCGACGCAGTTCCGGCACCCACGCTGCGCGCAGCGCCGTCGGCGCCCATTCTGGGGCTCTGGCCAGGGGGGGGGGGGCCAAACCGCCTAGGACGGCCCAAGAGGGTTTCAACGCTGTCCAACGCGGCCCCAAGAGGCGCCCAAGATCGCCCAAGTGGGCCCCGAGAGGAAGAACACGAACCGTCAATTCGACCTTTCCGCCCCAGGAGGCCCCAAGGAGGACGGACAAGGGGCCGCAAGAGAACGCCAAACAGCCCACAAGAGGCTTCCAAAACTGCTTCCAAGAGGCCTCGGGAGGCCCCCCACAAATCCCATGCGAAGTTCCAAGTGTCCTCTAAACCATATCCCAGGCACTGTGGCGGGATAGGCTGAAGGCCACTTAACGGCCCCAAGACGGCCTCCAGACGGCCCAAGAGGCCCCCGAGACACCCATGAGGCCTTCAAGAGGTCGCCCAGGAGAGCGCGAAGAGGCCAAGAAACACTGAAGGCCCTGAGGTGTTTCAGCAATTTTGGCGTTTCCGCTTGTTCCGCTTCCCGACGCTGCAAGACGCCCTAAGAGGCTCCGAGGATCGGCCCATGACGGCCGACTGGGCTTCGACAGCGCCCCAGGAAGGCCCCAACGCGTTTTCTCTTGAATATCCTCGACGAAGAGGGTCGTGCGTTGGACAGAGTTGCTCAGCGCATCTCTGAAAAGACGCTGGGGAATGCCAACCAGAAGCTCACCAAAAAGAAAGACGTCTGGCCGATGATGAGGCGTCGCGCGTGGCCCCAAGGGACTCTCGCTAGCGAAGGTACCCCCAGTGTCAGTGAGGGTTCAGCCTTGCGACAGCTAGCTGACCACTGGAGTCCGAGTTATCGCTGCGCCGGTAGTAGATCGCACGACGCGGGAAGAGGTCTCTCAGTTCATCCAGCCTATCGGGGCGGCGCCTGCGAATACCGACCTCGACGCCATGAAGGAGGAGGGGTGGATGCTCGATGAATATGGTTGGAGGTTTCTGGTTCGGAGACGAGTGGATCGTATGCCTGGAGAAGATGGCACCCCATACTCTGCACGGCGGTACGAATATTCCATGGCCGCTCGGACGAGTGCTAGCGCGAGCTGCCTCGGCACCCGCGTGGCGAGGTCCCCGCGGACATGATAAACAAAGTGCCTATTGGTTATCCGACCTACACAAATCATTGATTCTGAAGTGGTTGAAGATGTTTACCAGGCCCCATCTTCAACGAGGCTTTTGAATGTGGCCAGCGCGGGTGCAACGATCCTCTCTTCTTGGAGGCTCGGGCTCTCACTTGTAGTGCTGCGCGTGCTGGGGTTATTCGCCCTTCCAGACATGTTTCCAAACTCGTGACATCCCTGTGAACGTCGGAGTGGCCGAGTCAATTGAATTACCAGGAGCTCACGTGATAGATATGCCTCTTGTTTGGTCTGGACAGATTTTGAATCCGCGTCCCTCTCCATCGCCATTGCATGGGTCATGTGTGTTATTCGAAGAATGGGCTCCCCTTGTGTTTTTTTTATCGAGTTGTTCGGGCCGCTTTACTCTGAAAGCGCTGCTCGGGCCGCGCCCTTCGGGAAACATTCCGTGAGTTTGCGGTGCAAAGAGGGGTCCGTCAATGTGATTCCAGTTCGATGCGATTCCCTCTGGTTGCGGTGAGATCGTTTCTAGCCTGGATTGAGTGGAAACGCCCCGATCATATAGAGCTATCTTTGGCATATGCGGACGACTTCTGCTCTCGTTCCCGGCGCTTGTGCGACGGCATCGCGCCACTGCGTAAGTGCTTGACGTGCCTGAAGGACGCTAGTGGTCCTGCTTTGGACTCCCCGAAGTGTACGGTGCTTGTTTGTTATGCTAAGCTGATCGGGACCGTGCAAGACCTCCCCGAGGAGCTTGGACACCCTTTCCCTCTTTTGGAAATCGCCCGTCGTTTTGTTTTAAGTACCTTGGGATCTGGATAGGTGAGGATGCTGAACTCTTCGTCCGGTAAGAAGAACCGAGGGCAACTTCGGAAACGCATGCGTGACATCAGGGACCCGGGTTTCGGGCTAGCTCAGTCGGTCGTCCTCGTCCGCGCGCGTTGTGTGTCACTGTTACATTTTGTGATGCAGTTATGAGCCCGTGACGCTCTTGATGCCGACATCCAAAGCATGTGTACCCACCGCTGGCCCCAATAACACGCCATCTCATGACATGTCTTTTAACCCCACACGGCTTGGGTTGCCGATTCCGTTCCCCCACATTTGTCATATTGCAGTTGCTACTCGTGCCGGATCCACTGTCGGGCGTGATTAGCTCCCCCGACTTCGCGATGCGTATTTTTATCTCTCTCTATATATATGTGTGTATGTGTATATATATATATATATCGAGACGATGGCGGGCGTCCTACCCGCAGCGTCCTGCCCGCACCTCTATTTTCTTTAGTTCACGAGTTCCAGGGGTTTCATGAATGCATTTCTTCGCAGAGATCGGTTTTCAAGTCTGAAAGAAGGAGTGTTCAGAAGCAGTACCTGGAAACAGCTCAAGCTATAGTGCGCTTCCGCACAACAGCCTGTTTTGGCATTTCTCCGTCGGATGAAGAAGTGGTTTCCTGATGTTTCGGTCTTGACCTCGCCCAAGTCCTCCGTTGGCTTAAACCTATGGTTGTCCGTTGTGGCATGTGCATTCCCCATGCGGTTCTTCGTATGTTATCCAGGTGTGCCTGCACCTCTGCTCGTTTTCTTTCACGACTTCGTGTGTGTGTCTTATGGGATGTACTTCGTGTGCTCTGGACCTGCCTATGACATGAAGCGTTATATTGTTCGTCCTTTATTTCAAAGGTGCCTCCCTTCCTGCCTGGGTATCTGGACTCCGAGGTTTCCTGGGGGTTCGCCGCGGCTCTCCTCCTACCTCCTGTTTCACGGGATGGGACCTGGCCGAAGTCTCCTCTCGGCTCTGTTATGTAATTCGTTTCTTCTTATGCACTCGGTTGTCCGCCTCTCTTCCTTCCGGGTCCCCTCAGAGATGTTCCAGGCTCGCCTTCGAGCGCAGGCTCGTCGCCACAAAGCCTGCCGCAAGCTTTGGAATCAGCAGCAGCTCGAGACGTGGAATTTGTGCCTGCGTCTGCTGATTGCTGACAGCTCACTGCTCTGGGTTCGTGCCCAGACCCTTCTTCAATCAAACCTAATTCAGCCAGCAGGAATTTCATAACAAAAACATGATTCCCAAACGGCCGAACAGAGCGTCCGACGATTCGAGAGGGCGCGAACCGCGGCCCGAGATTGGGATCGCGAGCCCAACACTTGAGATCTTCGCCCGAGGAACCCCCCAGTAGGCCTCAAGAGTCCCCCCAAAAAACCAGCTAAACCCAAAAAGAGCCCCAACAATGACCCCAAGGTAATCTGAGCAAACAGGATATCCAACGTGTCCTTCCATCAGTTTTCAAATTCGCATGCCAGCTTCGCTACGCTCTACGATGATTCCTCTTCCGTCTTTTCCTCCTCCTCCTATGCGGACTCCTCCACCTTTCCCAGCTCCGCGTCATCCTTCTCCTTCTCCCCCAGTTATACCCTTCACCTCCCCTTCTCCTACTTCTTCCGGCTACGTCCAGCCGCGGCGAATTAAAGAGCACTGACGTGTCGAAGAAGTACCATAACATATAGATTCCCAGGAGTTCGATCATCCAGTCCAGTTAGGAAGTATATATATATATATGTACAGTCTATATGTGTGTGCACGCAAAGCTAGCGATGATTCTTGTATAGGTGTGTGTGCACACATATGTATATATATATATAGAGAGAGAGAGAGAGAAACATGTGTGCTAGCATGTTTATGTACATATAAGCATACATACATACATGCATACATAGATACACCCATACACCTAGGCATGCAGACGAACACCTACACACATTATATATATATATATATATAAGATTGCGAAGGACTTGCGGCCGGCGCCGCCGACCTTGAAGGGGGACGACGACGACGCCGACGACGACGACGGCGGCAGCGACGTCGACGATGACGCTGGCGTTCTGGAGCCCGTCGTGGGCCCTCCTGGGAGCCTTTCGGGCCCCCCTGGGCATTGTGTCACCCACAGTTCGATCCTACTGCCTGTTGGATCCTACTCCCAGTTGGAGTCCCTGCCAGTTGGAGCCTACTCCCCGCGGCCATAACGCGCGTCATGCCCTGTATCTTCCGTTCCCCCCCCCCCTCACACCCACCCATAACGTAACGTTCCGCTCCCACATCAGTGCGTCCCGGGATTTGCCGCAGTGCGTTCAGCACCATTGTTTGGGGGTGGGGGTCACGTTATGCCCCCTTCGGTCCCCCCTTTCCCCCCCATAACAATCGTTATGGCCGCGAATGAAATAATGCGCTCGATTGAGCTCGACTACGTTTAACAGTGACCTGTCGCCAGAGTGACCTGTGGTGCGGGCCCACAGTCGGCTACACGCAAGAGTGCCCTTTCGCTGGAGTGACCTCTGGTGTGGGTCCAAGGGGGGCCCCCGATCCCCGAACGCGATGCGGTAGTAGCGTCTCGCGCGCTTCTGCTTGCTTCCCCCGCGGCCCCCAAAAAACGCGCACCAGAGATCACACTTACCCAGGGTCATTGTTGCGAGTTGTCGATGACCGACAGTAGAGCGGTCCGAGGATTAGGATGAGGAGGAGGGGTAAGGGGAGAGAGCGGTGATGGTGGAGCCAGAGGAGTAGGAGAGCGAGAGATGGAGGAGGGAATAGGGTGGATCGAGGGGGGAGGGGGGAGGGCGTCTCTGTTCTGACTGGTTTAGCTTCACGGTCCCCGAGGTTTGATCTCCGACATGATCAGGCAACTTCAGACGGAGCCGAGATT